CAAGGCAAGTGACCAACCTTCTGTTCTATTGTTCTGACTCCTTAAAGAAATTATTATTAGTTGATTAAATATAAATTGTATGAAGCAGGGCTGGAGTGACTGTACAGCAGGTCGGGTGTTTACCTTGCATGCATTGTGATCAGTTCCCAGCATCCCCTGTGGTCCTCTGAGCGCCACCATGGGTAATCCCTGAGCACAGAGTGAGGAGTAAGCCTAAGCATTGCCAGGTGTGGTCCCAGAACAAACAAACAAACAAGAAAGCAAAAATAAAGCTATAAAGTAAACCAGTATAAACCAGTATCAATAACACTCTCAAGTTATTACTTCGAATTTGATGTACAGTTACAGATGTGCTTTTCTGTTAATAATTTTAATATTTAATTCCTATGTGAGTCCAACTTAAATAATAATCAGCATCTGCAATTACTATACTCGGATATGGAAATATTTGTGATTTCTTTGAGTTAAGAGTTAAAGATACTGCTGATGTTCAACCAGGTTTTTCTCTCCTGTAGTTAATGGTCATACTAAAATTCAGATATATGTTAGTGAAAATAGTGACATGGCATTTTGGGCAGAGTGATAGCTCAGGCTTTACATGCAAGAGACCAGGGTTTGATTCCAGGCTCTCTCTTACCCCCCTACACCACTGAGAGCAGCTCTCAAGCACCACTGGGTGTGGTTTCCCCAGAGAAAATACCAGCAACAAAAAGAGATGCAACATTTCTCCCCCCAACTGGTTTTATATTTTAAGAAGGAATAATAACGCTGACATTCTTGAATCATAACAATATGGATTTTCTTCTATTGGAAACCTGCTGAAGGCTTACTTGTAACTTTGATAAATTGATGATTATTTTTTACTTGGCATTCATTTAGAAGATGGTATTTACTGGCTTTCATACTTTGGGTCTAGTCTCAAGCAGAGACTCTCAATAATGGCAGGCTGCCAGAAAAGAAATCACTCAGCATAGCATCCCCCTGGAAATTACCTTCTTGAGACTAACAAATAGAAATCACTCCCCAGTTGGCTGAAGGCTATCATCTCTCCCTCTGAATTATTATAGCACCCCTGTGACAGGTTTCTTTCCTCTAAAGAAAGCAGATTGAGTGCATGAATACCTTTTTTCTTAATTAGCTGGTGAAATACTTTTTTTCTTTAAAAAAATTAGTTGAATTTTGTTGAAATCTAGTATTGATGATAAGCCCTTTTTAGCTTTGCATGATTGCTGATAACCCTACCTCCAGGGAATACTGATAGAAAATTCTGTCTTATCTGCTCATGAATCTCTTTGATCTTTGACTTAAAATAGCCCCAGACCTCTTCTATGAAGTGTGTTCCAGCTGGGTCATGGGCCAACCTATCTTTTTTTAAAAAAAAAGTATTTGCCAAGTGGATCCCTTATCATCAGATAGAATTTATAAGAACCTTGTTAAATGATACTTTAACATGTACATAGAGGCCTGTGAGCTAGCCACAGTTGTAATAATTCTCATGGGGAGGAATTGTGCTCTTTATGTCTTATAGTCTTTATTTCCAAATACAGTCTTCACTTCAGAGCAGCTTTGTGAAATGACTGACATTTTAAGGTACTTGCTCAGGGATTACTCCTGGCTCTGCACTCAGGAATTACTCCTGGCAGTACTGGGGGACCATATGGGATGCTGGGAATCGAACCCGGGTTGGCCGCGTGCAAGACAAATGCCCTACCTGCTGTGCTATTGCTCCAGCCTCCCTCCATACCTATTCTTGAACTCACTGCCCTTTCCCTCCAGGAACTGCCATAATTTTCACCAAATCTAGGAGTCATTTTGCCAGTTCCTTCCCTGTGGTTTGTATTCCACATCTGAGCAGAGCTACCTGATGGTTCCATTTTTAAATTTTACTTAAGCATAGTCACCAATCACCCCAAACTTTTTCACTTCATCCCAAAAGGCAGTGTCATCTATTTCAATGGAAGAATAGTATTTTATTGCATATATATACCACGGCTTCTATAGTCATCTGTCAGCGGGCATTGGGCTAATTCCATATTATGGCTATTATGAATAATGTTGCTGTGAAAATAAGGGTGTACAAAACTTCTCAAATTAGTGTTTTTATATTTTTTGGATAAATGCCTAACAGTGGTAACCAAATCTTTTTTAAAAATGAAATGAAGCACTGTAATCAGATGTATCATGCACCTGCAGAAACATTTGTTTATGCAAAACGTCTAATGTCTTTACTATTATATCTTCTTCTTGATTCACCAAACATACCTGCTGTCAAAACCAAATTTTTTTCATTTGAGTTGTGTGTACGATTTGTAATAAGTAATACAAATATTATATATCTCTTAAAAGTCATATTAAAATTTATTGTCTTTTCTTATCCCAGACAGTAAAATTATATCCTACCTTGGACCTAACTACTTATATTGGAGCTAATGACTCAACTGAAAATAATCTAATAAAAAAGAGCATAATTTGTGGTCTATTAATATGACCACAGCCTGGTGAAGAAGGAGGCAGGCAGGTCGCAGACAGCACTACTTACTGGTTGCCTAAAACTACCAGCTGTAGTGTAGAAAGGATAGGAACAATACAGTCTTATCACTTTCAAAGTTGTTCTGGAGAGAAGTCTTCTTTACATCTTAGTGGACATAGAGCTCCCAGTATGGAAGTGAGGTTGGTTTTACTAATCCTGGGAAAGCCAGCTAAGCGAAAGGAAGCAGTCATTTTTGCCAATGCTAGTTGACCATATCAGATAATCTCTTTCGACATGGTCATTAGGAGCTGCAATGCAGAACTGAAGCTACTTCTTTCCTTGAATATTCAGTTGACAAAGTTGGACAATGCAGTTCTAGATTGGCTGGTTTATCCTTCTGGATTTGTAGGGCTCATTTGACTGGCCACATTGTTGCAGACACCATCAGAAAAAATTGTTCAAGGGGTTGAGTTGCTCCAGGGAAGAATTAAAAGGTGCCCAACTGCTTTGGCACAGGGTTGTTTCTTGGGGTCCAGAAGATAATGCTACTTCCAACCTCTTCTTCCTAGAATTGAGGTTGCCGTTTTAGGTCTTCTGTAAGTTCTGTAAGCAAGCATCTTTAACATCATGCAAGAGAGCTGGAGATTTGAATTAGGCCTAACAAAGCATTTAAAACCATTTCTGGGGCCGGAGCGATAGCACAGAGGGTAGGGCATTTGCCTTGCATGCGGCCGACCCAGGTTTGATCCCCAGCATCCCATATGGTCCCCCCCGAGCACCGCCAGGAGTAATTCCTGAGCACAGAGCCAGGAGTAACCCTTGAGCATTGCTGGGTGTGACCCAAAAAGCAAAAAATAAATAAATAAATAAATAAATAAATAAAAAGAAAAAAAAGAAAAACAAAAACCTTTTCTCCTACATACTCTTATTTTAGGCTCATTTTCTGAGGGATTTGGCACTAGTTGTCTCTGATTCAGTTTTCTTGCTGTGCTTGTTGCTTCCTTGGATGAAATGCCTCCACACATTTGACCCTCCTCCTCCCTCCCCCGTCTGAGTGTCTGGACTAGAGACTGAATGATATGTTTTGCTCATTCTTGTACACTCATCATAGCCGGCCATTTGTGAGCCAGCTGTTGTGTGGGACAGCAGCTGCGGGCAGGGGAGCTGAGTGCCAGGCACTCTTTTAACGGGAGAGTCAGACCTGCTCCCTAACCCAGCGCCAGAGGTACCATTGGAGGGTCCCACTGGCCCTTCAGAGCTGTGCTTCATGCAGCTGGGACACAAGTGATAGGAAAGAGGGGACCAAGTTCTACGGTAGTTCTTTATGCAGAGGTTTGAGTTTAACCAGTGTCACTTAGAACAGAGCCAGGCACACCTTGGACCTCGCTGCTCTTCTGACTCTGCCAAGTGTAATAAAGCTGAAAGGCTATAGGAAAAGCCACAGGGTTTGTGCAGCTTTACTTTCAAAGCCTTCTCTTGCTATTGCCTTTTAATAGCAGAAGTAGTTAATATTCTTATAGCATTCTAGCTTATCATTAAGATAGTACATTGTTACTACTTAAAAAGCTAAGCATTCCAATTGCTTTGTAAATCATAGCAACATTCAGTTTAAGTCCATAGTTATAATGCACCATGGTACTTTGAAAATGATAAAAAAAAACATTTGTTTTAAATTCAGTTATTTGAATCAGTTTATTATATCATAAAGTATATGTGTTCTTTGTTGTTAGTGTGGAATAAGGTAGACTTTGAGTTTAGGAGAAGATGGAAGTATTAAATATATCAATTAAAAAAAAGGTGTAATGAAAAGTGTTGGAATAGGTGTTTGCCTGTCACTTTGAATAACTATTTAATACCTTATTGATAATTAATGGTTAAAATTTAGTCCTTTTGTTTTAAGATTCTGGTTTCCCAGAATCCTTTCCTCTTAGCTTTCTCAGAGGTTAGAAATAACGGGAAAGTGAAAAGGAGTTTCTAATCATTTTAATGGCCAAGTTGGAATGAAAAATAATTTTTTAAAAAAGGTCATTAAACTAAAATCATAGAAAAGACATGGACTCCTGCCTGACCTTGTTTCTCCATAATGTGGTTGCGGGAAAAATAAAATTTAGAAAGAGAAGTTGACTAAGCAGTTGATGCAGGCGTTTGGCTATGACATCTATTTTTTAGCAATAATTTCTGAATCACACTTCACTTTTCATGGGGTTAAAACCGACTTTTGTCCTTGACTAAGTTCTTATTATTTCAGTGTTGGCAGGGCTGTTTTGCTGTCAGCCATATAACATAAAGGTGTCTGTAGAGTTAGTGCGTCTTATCATTTAATAGATGCTTGAGTTTAGACTCAAGAATATAAAGTTCTTACCTTGAAAGTGTTTCAAAAATTTTTACAGACAGTGCACTTGGGTAAAAGCCACTTCAAGTAGGACGTTATTAAAATATATCTATATATAATTATGTGAATTGTAAACTGCTTTGTTGTGGACTGTGGAGTTTTTATAACTGGTTAATTCACCATTTTTCCTCTCTGCAGAACTGGCTGGATCCTGCAAAGGAAATAAAGAAACAACTGCGAAGTAAGTGTTCAAATAACCATGCAAATGTAGAGCAGAATAAGAATTGTGATGGAAATCATTGATTCTTTTTTGCAATAAAATCTTTTAGTGGGATTGGAGAGATACTAGAGATACTATTAAGGGCCTGGCTTTGCACTTAGCCAATACATCTGTTTGATTCTTGGTACCCAGTATGGTCCCCAAGATCCACCAGGAGTGACCCTTGATCTCAGAGCCAGGAATAGCCAGGTGTGGTTCCAAAACTAAAACTTATCACTGTAGCACTGTCCTCTCATTGTTCATCAGTTTGCTCGAGTGGGCACCAGTAACGTCTCCATTGTGAGACTTGTTGTTACTGTTTTTGGCATATCAAATACGCCACGGGGAGCTTGCCAGGCTCTGCCGTGCGAGTGGGATACTCTGGTAGCTTGCCGGGCTCTCCGAGAGAGACGGAGAAATTGAATCAGGGTCGGCCACATGCAAGGCAAATACCCTACCCACTGTGCTATCACTCCAGCCCAAAACTAAAACTTAAATAAAATAAATAGATCTTACAGGAAGTTAAAGGTACTAACATTAATTTTTGTAGAGTCCTTACTATTTGTTGATGGCTTAAGAATTTATTTACTGGTCCATGTGTTCTAGACCTATTCATAATGGGTCTACCACAGTGAGGTACTAGCTGATCTTTTTCTCTGGTAACTTTTCTGTAACTTTTCATTTCTTAGCCCAAATGTTGAGGAGCAACTAGTTAAATAAAAGTTTTACTTCTTATGTAAGTTCTTCTCTAGGAAGAGCTGTAACCATTGCTTTGTCTTCATTTCAGAAGTGTACAATTAAGCTAATTAATAAGTCTCCTCTGGCCCAGGGGCCATCTAGTTAGTTAACACTGTTCACTGGGGTACTCAGGAAAGCACTTCTGGGTGAAAAGCTTGCGGAACTATCTTTCCAGTCCCAGCTGGTCTTTGCCTTCTCTACTTCCCTAGTTTGAGTCCAAGGTCGCTGTGTGTACTCTCGAGTCTGTAAGTCAGTCCTGCTTTTCCCTTCTTTTTCCCCATTTTTCTTTCTCATTTTGAGTGTCCATAGTGACTGCTGGTGTCCGCTCTAATAGGCTTCTGTTCTTTCCAGAGAGTTCCTCCTCTGCCTGGGGCTGACATGATATCATGCCAAGAAATAGTATAACCACAGAGGAATTTGCCATAGGGTATCTGGATACTTTAATTTACTCCGAGGTCTGTAAATGATTGAAGCAGAAAGGTAGGGAGCCACAAACAGCTGGAAGGTTTAGGCAGGAGAAGGAAATATCTTACCAGCCAGACTCTGACCGTGGTCCCGTGGGCTGTGCTGAGAGAAACCATGTCCCTGAACGCCAGCTGCAGAATGTCTTGTGTATTGTTGTTTTCATCTACCTACTTATTATTCCTAACTTCAAACCACAGGCACAGGATCTTTACTTTCCCGTCTGTTCCTTACATCTTTGTTCCATCTTCCATTTTAAGGTTCTCCGAGTATGTTTCAATTTTTCTTTCTTGAATTAAGCTTTTCTTGTAGTCTTTCTCTCTCTCTCTCCCTCTCCCTCTGTTTCTCTCTCTGTCTCTTTTCTTTAAGACTGTGTCTGGTGGTATTCAGGGGCTACTCCTGGCTCTGTGCTCAGAGGTCACCCTGGTAGTCCTAGCCGGTGGTTGAGAGGATGGAACCAGGCCTCCTACATGCAAAGTATGCTCTCAACCTATTTATTGAGCTAGCTAGCCAGCCCCTTCTCTTCTCTTACACTCCTCCACTTTTTTTCCCTCTCAGTGAAGCAAAATGGTTTTATTTAATGAAATTTGCTTAGAGAAATGTGAAGGGGGCACAGTGAGAGAGAGAGATGCCTTCTGGACAAAGCATGGGCTTCTCCAGAGGGGAAGAAACAGAGAATGGCTTTGGGGAGGAAGTTACACACAGGTTCTCCAAGTTTTCTTGGCCGGGAATTCTCTGCATATGTAAATTAATCCAGGTGTTTACACAGCCAAGGCCTTGGACTCCTGATGGCCCATTCATATTTTTATCAGGACCTTTAGATTTTCTCCTCCTGTTCTAAGGGGTCCTCCCTTCTTTGGGTGGTGCCTCTTATTTATCCTGAGCTCAATACCTCATTTTCTCATTTCCTCTCCAGGAAGACTCTGCTTTACATGTCTCCAGTTATTGTAGTCTTCCTGATTTGGCTTGCACTGAAGGGCTGAGGGATTTCTCAGGATTTGGTGCTAAAACTGGAACCTTACTAGTTAAGCTGGGACAGTTTCCTTTGACCATTGTTTCTGGCTTTCCAGCATTCACTAATTCTCTCCTCCCCTTCCCACTGCCTCCCTCCTCGCTATCCCCTCACCTTGTCCCAACTTTTCTCTGTCCTCTACTGCCCGGCCTTATTTCATCTGTTTTTGATCACCTTATGATGGAAAAGAGGAAATAAGGAAGAGAAATAAGTAGATTGAGAAAGTTATGCTAACAGTAGTGATGTCAGTGAACCCTACGGGTGACTTACGTGAAGCGGGGAGGAGAAAGAAGGTCACTTTCTTCCCCGCTGCCTCTGCTATCTGGAACCCAGGGTTACTGGGCTCTTGTCTCGCCTCACAGAAAGGAATTTCAGGAGTAGACAAGCGGTGAAATAAATAGATTTTATTCAGAGAGTTTTTAAGGTGTAGAGGGGGAGAGAATGAGAGAGAGCAACATACTCAAGAGAGAACGCGGGCTTCTCCAAGGGCGGAGAAAGGCCCTGCACACAGTCCAGCATTAGACACGAAAGCATGAAAGTACACATCTCAAGAGGGGAGATGCGGGTGACACATGTGCTCAGCCACCACATGTTCTTGGCTGCATGGGCACAAGCAGCACATGGATTTGGGCAGCATATGCCCACCCTTCCTTTGTTCCAGGTGTCTTTTATAGGCTCTTCTCGGGGCTGGATCACATTTTAATCAGATTAAAAGAGAGGTCCAAGGGTTTGAGGAACTTCATAGGGAGGGGTCCAACCTCCTCAAGGTCTGCTGAAGGTCTTTTCAGGTCTGTTTTCTGTGATGTATTCGATATGCCAAACACAGTAACAACAAAGTCTCCAATAGAGATGTTACTGGGCCCGCTCGAGCAAATCGATGTACAACAGGAGGACAGTGATATAGTGATTTCTGTATCCACAGGGTGGATCAGTCTTAGGATTTTCCTCCCAGAAGTTCTGTTGACCTAAGTTTCATTGCTGAGGGCCTTTTCCTATCTACCTGCCTACACATCAGTAGCATGGTAGCACTGTCCTCCCATTATTCATCAGTTTGCTCTAGCGGGCACCAGTAACATCTCCATTATGAGACTTCTTGTTACTGTTTTTGGCATGTTGAAAACCCCATGGGAAGCTTGCCAGGCTCTGCCGTGCGGGTGGGATACTCTTGGTAGCTTGCTGGGCTCTCCGAGAGGGACAGATGAATCAAACCTGGGTCAGCCGTGTGCAAGGCAAACACCCTACCAACTGTGCAACAAAGTTTTGGAGCTTTCTCCTTTATTCTTTCTGGAGCGAAGAACATGAGTTCAAGAGGGGTCAGATGCTTGGATCTTTCACCCTCTCTGAAACCACACCTGCCAAGTGACCCAGACCTGAGAGAAAATCAGGTTAGCCTCTCAAACAAGTGACGCTCCATTCATTGATTTGTCTCTTCTAGTTTTGTTCTAGTGTTTGATTTCAGCGTCATGGAGATTTTCTAATTTTTGGAAGGCAAGACACTTACTGATTATAAATCATGGTCTTGTAGTTTAATTATTTGGGAAGTTTTTTGTTTGTTTTGGTGTCTCTATGCTCAGGCCATACTCTTGGCTCTGTGCTCAGGAGATCCTATGGGGTGTGTGTGAGGCTCTAATGTGAGTCAGTCACATGCAAGGCGAATGATTTACTGCTGTACTGTCTCTCCAGCCCCCCTATTTGGAAAATTTTTAAAGACTTATTTCAGGATTTTTGCATTTGTGGTTTAGCAAGAGGAATAGCAGTAAAAAATATGATTTGACTTTTTCAAATTGTTGGAGCTAGTTCTCCAAATGGAATTCTGTACTGAGCTGGTCATGAAAGTAGGCCAAGAACTTGACATTTTAGAGGTTTTCACCTCTTGTTTCCTGCTTATATTAAAATGAATGAGGAAATTATTTAGCTTATTACTCTATCTGGATCCAGTTTCTATGATTTTATTACTTTTCAGGTAATAGGCAAAAAGTTCATATTTGTAATTATTTTTGACAACTACAGCATATTAATTCATGTGTTAAATTTGCCTTAAATATTTTTCAAGTATATAAAAATACTATGATATGTGGCTTGACTTATATTAAATATAAATCTATAGCTTGATGAACTGTATGTAGTCGGATGAAACTTATGATCTTAGGTATATAGCTAAAATGAAAGCTGGACCCTATTGGTCCACTTATCTGCTTTTAAGATTGAAAAATGTACCGTAAAATGTGTGTTGTATTAGAAACTTCTCTGTAATCCTATGAGAAGGTAAGCAAGTGCTGGTTTTAATGCTTAGGGAACAAATATCCATTAGGAAATCCCTCAAGGACTTTGCCCTAGGATAGTTTAGCTGGGGCTGGGAATGGTAGCTTGGGTTGGCGCTTACCCTAAACATAGCTGTCCTGACTTCAATTCCCAGCACTGCAGAGCGCGCCCCCACTGGGAGTGATCCCTGAACAACAGCAACTACAGTAATCATAATCAGTTAGCAGTCACCTTGAAAGTGTATTTTCAGGGAAGTTCTATATTCGTTTACAGTGTTCTATGTATGTGAAACAGAACTGAAATCTTTTGGTTTTACTCTTGCTTTTTTTTGGGTTTGCATGGTGCTCAGGGACTTTTCTTGGCAATGCTGAAGTGAATCCAGGAAGTGCCAGGGATCGACTGGGGTTCACCGGATACAAGTTGAGGGCCTTAACCCCTGTACCATCTTTCTGGCCCTGAAATCTTTTTATTAAGTTGCACAAGATTAGCTTTATTAGTAGAACAATAGTGTGTATTATTGTCCATAATGCTATTTAATAAGTACTTGTTGACCTTTGAATAAGAGAAAACATCCTGATGGTGGGAACAAAATCACAAATTGGACAAGAAATTTTTTTCAGCTTTAGTCAGTTGTGATACTTTAAAAAATCTACAAAGGAAATAATACACACACGGGCCATTGGAATTATTTGAATTGCTTTGGGAAATTATTTTCTGCCCTCTCCCTAGAGAGAGAGAGAAAGAAGGGAAGTGGGGAAGAGATGGGGAGAGAGAGAGCGTCATCAGTTCCGAAGGATGATAAAACAAACATTAGGTTCAATGTTAATGTATAAATCAGTGTTTTAACTTTTAATAAGTCATTTTCGATAATAATTTTTCTTAATGGCATAATAATGGTAAAGTATTCTAAAACCTGGGAAAGGATACTGTCTTACAGTTTTGTGGTATTAATCTCTTGTCCCCTTCCCTGGGATATCTTTCCGTAGTCCATTAATCATTTCCAAAATTGAAAGAGTGATCACTTGTTCATTGCCCTCTCCCATCCCAACAATTAAGGAATCTTAAAACACTGAGGATTTTGTTGGTTTTTAAAGGATAGAGAATATTTGTCACTTAGAGAGCCTGTGGTTCAAATAAAGTTATCTCAAGTGCAGGGAGATAGCTCAAAGAGGTCCTGAGTTTGAGCCCTGACATTATATGGCTCCCGACACTGCCAGAGGTAGCACCCACCGACCCTAGCTCTGCAGGCCCCAAGTACCAGATCTTTAGGCCTGTGCCATGATGCACTCCTGAGCACTACTGGGGAAACTACAAAGAGGACTGGAGAGATAGTACCTTAGTACATACTTTGCATGTAGCCAAGCCTGGTTCCATCCTTGGTACCATGTGGTCCTCGAACATTATCATGTATATCCCCAGAAGCCTCTGAGCATGGCCTTGGTAGTTCTGGTTCAGCCTCAAGCAGCACCAAAACACCACAACCTCAGACCCCACGCTGCCTGCCTGCCTAGGTGGCCAACAATCACCCAGAGAACCCTCAGATTTCATGAGCAATGCTTGGGTGCCCCCAGTAAGTTTTCTCAGCTGTCATGTTGAAGTTATGTGATAAGCTTGACTCTTAATGTCATAGCATACTATATAAAACCTTTGTAAATACTCTAGTAAATGTTATTCAGAAGTCCATTATTATCCTTTAATGCTTCCCCCTCGTAATTGATTTTTTTCTATTTTGTAAATTACATATTTAAAAACATATCGTCTCTACATGATTTTGTAGTGTGACTTAGTCTGTACTGTTTGAACATTTAACGTGATACTTAAATGGTCAGGCTGTTGGTTGGATAAATAACTATGATATTTAATAATTACAGATCTTCCTTGGCTGTTCACCTTCAATGTGAAGTTTTATCCTCCCGATCCTTCTCAGTTGACTGAAGATATCACCAGGTATTTTATACATTAAAAAATAAAATGAGTTTACTTACAGTCTTCATTTATTTCTGTGCCCAAGGAGAGTCATCTTATATTCTGGATAAAACCCAAACATGTTATTTTTAGAAATTTTCTTTTAAGTGGCTACTCCCAAATAATGTGAAATGTTGCTATCTTGAAAAATTGTATTCACTTTAATCTCTGCATTTATATTTGAGTAATGTTAAGTTCAGTATGTGTCTGTATGTATGTCTCTGTGTGTATGTCTGTGTGTATTTAAAACTAACACTAAGAGCTGTAATTTAGAGTCCTTATTAAAAAAATGGGCTGGAGTGATAGCACAGCAGGTAGAGCATTTGCCCTGCAGGCGACCGACCTGGGTTTGATTCTTCCATCCCTCTTGGAGAGCCCAGCAAGCTATGGAGAGTATCCTGCCCGTATGACAGAGCCTGGCAAGCTACCCGTGATGTATTTGATATGCCAAACAAAGTAACAATAAGTCTCACGGTGGAGATGTTACTGGTGCCCGCTCGAGCAAATCCATGAACAACGGGAGGACAGTGCTACAGTGCTAATGTTAATAATGTTGCTGACTCAATTTTCTCTGTCGTACTTTTAAGAAGCCTTGCTTTTTAACTTTTTAATACTAAAAGATTATTACATGATGAATTTTCATGTATAACCATGTGTAACACACACATATTCTAGTTTTCTTTGTAAAGGTGATTGAGGGCTAGAAACATGAAAGTAGTTGTAAAGTCAATTGAAGTATAACGTTTCCCACCCTTAAGGAATAAAACAAACCCAATAAAGTAGGATTTCTTATATAAGAGTCAGTAGGTCTTTCATTTCCCTCTGAGATCATCTGGGCTAATCTAGCATCTCCTTAAATTTCAAATTAAGGATCATTTGTTAGGAGCAAGAGAGCATTTATAGATTCTGAGTATTTGGTTATCAAGGAACATTTTGAATCCATAAGTGCCTTGATATTTTAGCCCTGCACAACTGGCTAAAATACTTCTTAACATTACGTGGAGTAGGTCTCTAGAGTGATTTTTTTTCCAAATGTATTTTAAAAAGGTTTTTATATGGCCAAGGAAAAGTGTGTCTGGTATGTACACCGAAGTAAACTAGAGGTCTTAGCCAGAATCCGCTTTTGATTTCTGTGGATTGTGTGCCTTTATGCTTTCTCCTAGGCCAGTTGTGTTGAGAAGCATCAAGTTGCAGAGGTGCTTATCAGAGAGTTTGCTAATCAAATAGGAATGATGACAACTTCTTTCCAAGATAAGATAAATGACAGTTCTTTGTTTTTCCTTAACTAATTGTTGCTGAATAGAGAATTATGGCTACCAATTAAGTTGCGATTGAATTCGATTCAGCTATTAAATGATAAGAATAGCTTTCATGACTGTACAGTGAGTTGTTCAGAGCATGGAACTCAGCAGACTGGCACGTATGGGACACAGCCTCACCACAGACATGCCTTTGAACAAAGCATTTAATTGGAGTTTTGTGGCCTATTGCCCTCTCTGTGCATATACTTCTCACAATGATAATGCTTTGGTGATTGCAGCTCATGGTATCAGCAAGTGTGTTGCTTTTCTTTTTAAATTGGACTTGAAGAGTCTCCCTGTCTGTAGTGGGAGAAAAAAACAGTCTGTAGAGATATTCAAGCTTTTTATGCCTAAGACCCAGCATCATCCCACTGTCTGGCACCCGAACATTGCTGGCCTATGAGCTAACTAATAAAGCCTTACCTACAGCCAGAGGGCCAGCCACCTGCCTGTTCTAGTAGCCAAGTGTCTCATAAGTGGCTGATCGAAATCTTCACCATGACTTGAGAGAACATTTCAAAGGTAGGGGACAGCCTTGGTGGAGAGCAAGAACATTTCTGCATATTCTTTAAAGAGTGTTCTGTCTTTGTGTGAAAGGATGGAGTTGGAAAATTCAGGAGACAATTGGAGATTTTGTCTGACGTCTTTAGACCTGTGATTTAGGTTTTGAAAGCAGGAAAGGGCCACATTGAAAAGTAGAGACAATAAAGTAAAGGAGTGACAGGTTTGGTATTCAAAGAAATCTTTGTTTCTTAGGGCTTAAAGGTGTCATGGAATATAGATTGACTTGGTTGGATTTAAGGGACTTGAACATAATCTAGAATCATAGTTTAAGTTAGAGTTTTATAAAGTAACTGGAATTATCTTTATGCTGTTCTAAGCTTTACAGATACAATCCCACTTTATTATTATTTTTTAAATTTTAAAATTTTTTTTGCTTTTTGGGGTCACACCTGGCGATGCTCAGGGATCATTCCTGACTCTGCACTCAGGAATCATTCCTGGCGGTGCTCAGGGGACCATATGGGATGCTGGGAATGGAACCCGGGTCAGCCGCGTGCAAGGCAAATGCCCTACCCGCTGTGCTATCGCCCCAACCCCCAATCCCACTTTAAAAAGTGGCTCCTGGGATACATCAGAAATAATAGGGACTGGGGAAATAATTTAGGGTGTGTCTGATCTCAGTTTGATCCCTGATACCACATGGCCCCCTGAATATTGCCAGGTGCAGGCGTGGAGGCTCCAGAATTGTGAGGTTGGCTTTGGTGGTCCCTGGTACTATGTGGTAAAAGCAGCACTCCATCCTTAGACCCTTACACTGAAGCATTGACCCATTCAGCTGAGAATCACTGGTCCTTGAACACCACTTGGTACACCCCCCCAACCCCTGTATTTATGTCTGTAGTAATAGTGAAATGACTTTTATTCCACGAGAAAATGATTTCTTGCCAAGTGGTCAACAGTTCACTAGCATTGAAGAGTTTATTTCAGTTATGATGATAGAATGCCTATCCTGCCTCAGGAGCAGTCAGGGGGCAGGTCAAGTATAAGTGCACTGGGGTAGGGCTAAAACCTCCTGCTGGGATGTGCTTCTGAGCAAGCAGCAGAGCCACCTGGCCAGAGGCAACCTGTGCGCCAGAAGGCAGGAGGACAGAGTCTGAGACTCATGCTATGCACATGCACCCACAGGAAGAAGGTGGCCAACTGCCCACAGGACTGGCCTCCTCTAAAAGATGCCCAGGAAGAAAGGAAGAGCCACTTAGTGTTGCAAGTGAATTGTGTAGCCTTAAAAACAATTCCCTTTGAGTGTAGAAATGTGTTTTTTTCCAGAGGTCGCCTAGTTGATTGTAGTTCCAAAAAAAAAAAATCCTCAGTGAATATAAATAACTTATCTGTGTGTTATTAGTAAATACTCTTTTATAAATATGTAGTCAGTGTGCCAATTTTATAGTAATTACTAGCACTCTTATCATTGTTGATGTAGGCTGTTGGGTCCTAGGATCATGCATGTGTTTTATTTATATTGATAGCACAGCAGTAGGGCGTTTGCCTTGCACGCAGCCAGCCCAGCCGAGCTGGGTTCGATTCCTCCACCCCTCTCGGAGAGCCTGGCAAGCTACCAAAAAGTATTCAGTATGCCAAACACAGTAACAAGAAGTCTCACAATGGAGACATTACTGGGCCTGCTCGAGCAATCTAATATTTGCCCTCACCTACAAAGAGAGGTGGAATTCCTTCTATTTGACAGGTGAAGAGTTAGCCCTAGGCAGGTGGATGAAATTTTCTTTAGAAGGGGTAAGTGAGCAAGAAAGAGCCTCACAGTAGCTAATTATTGCTAAGGGCATCTTAGGAAAAAAGAAATTAGTGTGGAAAGGCTAGAGAAGGATAAAGGGACAGTGATTTTTATTAGCCTTTCTTGCAAGTGCTATAACCTGCAGCTGTTTACACACACACACACACACACACACACACACACACACACACACACATGCTCTCAGGGCACTGGTTGTGGCCCCTGGGAGCCACCCCAGGGTGTGTGGCAGATGCTCTACCACTGAATCACATCCCCAGGCCCAACCTGTAGCTATTTTTGAAAATACCATTCATCTCTATAGCTCTGGAATGGCATGTCCATTTGTAGCATAGAAATGTCATTTTGAATCCAAGGAGAGACAGTGTGTGTGATGGCGTTGTTTTATCTTCAGCCCCAGAATCCAGTATACATTCTAGGGATGCAACATTTGCAGCACGGCCATTCAGAATTTCCTCTTATTTGCCCTCGAGACTCAGTTACTGTTACACAAGGCACAAGGAGTTGGGAGTCCCAGTGGGTGTCTCACTGTGCCTTTTATTTTGGCTTCTGGATCTGAAGAGGAATAGTAGAAAGTAAGGGTTAGATGAGCAGTGGATAATTTCATTGTCCTCTCTTCCTTTTCCCCTCCCAGATACTTCCTGTGCCTTCAGCTCCGTAAGGACATTGCTTCCGGCCGCCTGCCTTGTTCTTTCGTGACACACGCCCTCCTGGGCTCCTACACACTTCAGGCCGAACTCGGGGACCATGACCCAGAGCAGCGTGGCAGCACCGACCTCAGTGACTTCCAGTTCGCTCCCACGCAGACTAAGGAGCTGGAAGAAAAAGTGGCAGAGCTGCACAGAACCCACAGGTGGGTGGTCCTGCCCCGTGGGGCGAGAAGGTGGAAGCAGCTGTCCCTAGACACCCGAGCCTCGTGTGTGGCATCAGCTTCACCTAGTGCCAGTCAAGGAAAACTAGGGGACCCTCGCTCCGTCCTTTCATTGTCTTCATGAGTATGAAATAGAACTGACTCTTCTTACGTAACTAAATGATTTCATTTATTCAAAGAATGTACTTGTTGTGTCTTTATACCTCTCCTACTCCCTACCTTATCCTTTAACAGCATTTCTTAACTGATCCATATAGTGTCTGTGGGTCCCTCGGATATTCCGGGGGCGGGGGGGTTCACAGGTGAAAAATCATGTAGTAAGGACCATGGCACAAGACTCAGCAGTCCTACTGGTAGAATGTAGAGGGTGACACAGGAAAGAAACAAGATTGCAGGGGGCCGTGGATGGAAAAAGGCTGTGAAACATTGATTTAGCACCTACAAATGTAAAAAACACACCTACAAACACACCCACCCACATACATAGTTGGCATTTACTACCTATTTAAATTTCCTTTTAATTGTCTCTATCGGCATATTTGACACAGTGCCAGAGAGATGATGAGGCATCACAATTTTTTAAAGGTGGGTGGTGATGGACATTGTAGTAGTAACTGAAATATACGGATGGTTTGTCTGATCCACAGATGACCTTGAGGATTACTTAAATTGCTTAAATACACTGTACTTTGAGAAGTTTTAATATCTGTGCAAGAATAGAGTGGTTTTTTTTCTTAAGCACAAATCTTGAAGACTTTTAACTACAAATTTTTCATTTGTCCCTTGTATCACTGGTCATCCTGTTGTTCATCGATGTGCTCGAGTGGGTGCCAGTAACTTCTCTTTTCATCCCTGTCGTGTGCTAGTGTAGCCCAGTGGCATCAGCTCACTCCAGGAACAACGAATTTTCATTTGTCCCATATTGAAAAATTGATATTTTGTAAAATTTTGACAAAAATGCTTTGAAAGAGATCTTAGAGATGTGAAGTTTTCAAACCATTTTATTTGATTTAAAACATGCTATACTATTTGAGTCTAAATATTTTCTTAACTATTCAAATTTTACTCAATTGGCATTTAATATGTAATTTGAAATTTAAATAACAGGTACTGAAATGTCATGAGGATGTGAAGATTAATGGGAGATGGTTCTGTTCTCTAGGAGTTTTAAAGTTGTTTAGTGAGGGAGATGGGTAGGACAGGAAATAGTTTTAGCCTGCACAGTATCTGAAAGAGTAAAGTCAAATGCAAGTACTTCTAATCTTTATCTGATCAAACTTAATGAAATGAAACTATGGATTAAAAACCATCTGTTTAGAAACATGAAGTTACTTTATTATTTTGTAACTGTTACAGCTGGGACTCTTTTCCCTAATGAAGTCGAAAAGAAACTTTCTAATTTTAAGAAGGTGAAGGTGGTATTTCACACCTCTTGCAGGGAGCAGTTAGAAAGAAAGCTAGAGGTTGACAGTTACTCCATGTTCTGTCTGCTAATTCTCTCCTCCAGACAAAACTCTCCCATGTCATACACACCTTTTTCCTATTTGACTTTGCATCACCAATAATTTGGTACTTTTTTTTTTCATTCTTAGGGGCTTATCTCCAGCACAAGCTGATTCTCAGTTCTTAGAAAATGCAAAGAGGCTTTCCATGTACGGCGTTGACCTACATCATGCCAAGGTACTCTAAATGTCATGGGGAAAGAGCATCTTTCCAGGCTGACACTGAAGATTTGGGAGGACTTCAGTTTCAGAATTTCACTTTTAGGAAATGTTAAATGCTCTCATCTGAAGGTTTTATAATATTCTTTGTTGTGACTAATTTGTGTAAAACTCTCCACTGCCTTTCTTTTCCTAGTTTTTTTTCTTCATACTCTTAGATAAAAATTCACTTTATCACCCTTTTCTTAAACTCTCACCCTGGTTTATTCTGTGTTCTCACTTTTGCTATGCCAAGTGTTGCTTCTGTGCCAGTTTCCTCTCCTTCTGTTATTTAAAATATTCATTTTGGGGCCTCAAAGACAGTTCAGAAGTTAGGCACTGGTCTTGTGCACGGTTCGCAATTTGGTCCCTAAACCACTGGAGATGTGACCCTTGATTACAGAGCAAGGAATAAGCTCTGAACACTACTGGGGGGTGGACGCCCCAAAAAATGATATTATAAATAAGGTAAGGTAAAAGGTAAAGGCCCTCCCGTTGATCGTCGATTTGCTCGAGCGGGCCCAGTAACGTCTCCATTGGAGACTTTGTTGTTATTGTGTCTGGCATATCGAATACTCTTCGGTAGCTTGCCGGGCTCTCCGAGAGGGGCGGAGGAATCGAACTCGGGTCGGCCATATTGTCCGCTTGCAAGGCAAACGCCTTACCCACTGTGCTATCGCTCCAGCCGATATATATGTTAATATTGGCACAAAGACATGAGAAACATCCATACTTACTTACCTAAAGTGGAACTGTTAATATTTTGGTCAGTTACATTTATTTTTCTCTGTAATTCTGAAACATATGTGTGCATATATTTCAAACAATACATCTCTCTACTTTTACGATAATCAAGCTTTTTCTCTCAATTTTACAAGAATTTCATTGTATGGGTAGTAAAAAATAACTATCTCAACAATTAGTTTCTATGTTAGTGTCTTACTACTTAATTTAAAAAATTTTTGTATTCTCACCACATCTTATCTGTCCCCCAACCCCCTCCTCACACTTCAATTCCTCTTCCTATTGTTTCCTAATAAATTTTACTTAGGAGGTAAAACATAATTTCTTATATATGAATGTTTTCACATTGGTAGGGACAAGGCTTGTTATTCAAGGGAGAGAGGAGAGAACATCGCCCGGCCCCCCAAAAACTCTTGTCCTGTCTCTTTATTTATTTACTTACTTAACTTGTCTCTTTTTAAATTAAATCCTAACTTTCTCACCTCCTGTAAAATCTTGGTTCTGTTACTTTGTTGTTCGTTAGTTAAAATTCAGCTTTTCAAGAGAAGTACTGCTGGGTCTGGAATTCTTGTGCTTTATTTGGTGGGAAGCCCTGCCAGGGTTCACTTTTTGAGGTACTTAGTGCTGACGTGTGGGCCCCGTAGTTCAATATTCAGGCATGAAAATGTGCTATTGTTTGGGCCCAGGGTGCTGGGGGCAGACCTACACTTGTGGGCTTCGGTGGGACCTCAGTAAAGCCCTGTGAACTGAACTCAGCATTCATGTGCCTTCTAGGCATGTACTTAAGTCCTTTGACCTATTTCCCTAGTCCCAGAACTCTTGTTTCTAAAGGGGTAAGAAAAGTAAGCTTGCCAGCTCTGTTTTAATACAATTTTGCTGGGTGACCACTTTTGAAAATAAATTTATTTCTCTGGTCTCTATAAAATCATATACTCATTAAATCATATTTAATGCACATATTTGTAATTTGTTGAAAGGAATAGAGCATTAAAGGAATTTTGCATGGAGTTTAAAACTGTGTTGTCTTTATACATTTTCTCACGGTCTTGGTAACTTAAGTGGTCTTTTTGTTTTGGTGTTTGGGCCATACATGCTGGTGTTCAAGTGTAGCTCTTTGTTGAGGATTGATCCCTCACCCAGTGATGGGACCATATGTGGTGCCCAGGATTCAAACCAGGGTCAGTGGGATGCAAGACAAGTGCCTTACTTCCTTTACTCTCAGACCCTAAATGCATTTTTAATTAATATTTTGTTATTAGTCAAGTTCTTAATAGTACACTAATGTTAGAATGGGTCAAACAAAAGAACTGTTGACCAAGGGCTACAGGCAAAACACAAGTATGGGAGCTTTCTTAACTCTCCTGTGTTCGAAGGAATGCAGGCCACAGCAGTTTCCAGAACCAAGGTCTGTGTGGAGAGGATATCCCAAGAGGAGCTGTCATCATCACTGTGTAGCTGGCTTGAATGGGACGAAACAGGGAGGGGGGAAGCTGGGTACTAAGTACCCCGGCCTCCCTAGCTTCATCTCCCTCCTTCCTCCTCCTCTGAGAACGTTCCATTATCTTAACACATTGAGAAGCCAGTAAGCCTGGGGTCTTTTGATACCCAGAAGGGACAGGGGAGTTTCCAGAGAAGCTAGCTAGGCCGAGAAAGGGTTCCCCTTTTGTAGCTTATTTTTCCAACTGTGTTATAAGATTGCATATCACAGATATGGGATGAACTCATGTTTTTGTTTTTGTTTTTGTTTTTCTTCACCCCTCATGTGTCATTTATATGTACACACGATACTGATAATTCTAAAGCAATATAAAAATCTGAAAATCCACCGACTGACTTGAATTGTGATTGGACTGACTTTTTGAAGTCTGAGAGAATAGCTTCAGTGTCCTGTAAGGATTGCTTCAGAGTCGGAGAGCTTTATTCCGTGTTTTAAATAAGAGTCGCCTCCTTCCTCATGGTGAGAACATGCTGTCTCGCCAGGCTTCCGGCTTGTTCCCTGTGGCCATGGCCAGTGATATTTTTGGCAACCACCATTGTGTCTGGTGCCAAGTTGCTTGGGCACCTGTGCCTGAATCACCCCAGCTTTTCCCTCTGTTCCTAGAGAGAATTGTGGCTGCCAAGATATGGGTAAATAAAGCACCCTAGAGATTAGACTTCTAAACTTGCTCAAGGGATCCAATGTAATTTGATCTGTAGATGTGAACCATTCACATCTCACAGTAGAGAAGGCAATTGGCATCAGTTACCTAGTAATAAATATGCACGTTTCCCCCCACCATTTCCCTCCCCTTTGTTTTTTTTGCAATGTCTGGGGGTCATACAATTAGTTGTGGTCTAATAAGAGATCCCACATTTGCTGTGACATGGTCTCACAATGATAGTGTCACCCAGATCACACTTGGAGATGAGAGTGGAGCTGGGTATGAAACTCAAGTCAGCAAAGTAGGCATTCTACCAAGGAGCCACGTGCTACCTCTCTTCTTCAAAAACTAACAGGGGCCAGAGAGATAGTACAATGTGTAGGAAACTTGCCTTGAATGCTGCCAACCAGCTTCAGTCCCCAGCACCCCATATGTTCCTTCAAGCGCACTCAGGAATGACCCTGAGCACAGAGTGAGGAGTAAGCCCAAAGAACCCAACCCTCCCCATCCCCCCAAAAAGCCCTAATATAAAGTCGAAATTTTTTTTTAGTAACAAGACAGTCAAGTTGTTACACCTTTATTGAATTGAGACCCAGACTAAATCTGGTGTTTTAACATTTTTGGTAGAATTTGTTTCATGCTAATGATTTCTGAAAATGTGAATATATCTGAATAATATTCTTCAATTTTTGCATATTTTGAGTTAAAGCCAATTTTTTTAGGGATAACTGATGATCTGTATATTTTAAATATTGTGCATGTTGGATCAGCACTACTTGAAATGTGAGAAAACAGTTTTCCACTTTTGTCTGTAAGTTTATTTAAAACAAAACCTTTCAGATTTGTGTCTTATATTCCAAATTAGAATGCTGAGAAAGAAAGCAATATTGGAAAGTTCAAGAAAAGTCTGTATTTCTTTGGAATATGGCAGCCCAAAGCATTCTGTAATGAGAATAGGAAGAGTCAGCACTCTTGAGTTTATTGGAAAGTTGCTGGGAAGGATTCAAGATTTCAGCATTGTCCACCTAGAAGGAAGATTTTCTGTGAGGGATTAATATTTCATAGGATAAAGACATAACTTTAACAGCTAATAACTATTTTAATCTATGTGAGATAAAATTGCCTAAAGTGAAATGGAGTTCAAGGGTGGAGCAACAGGCCAGAAGGCTGGTGTTAACTGCCAGGAAAACACAACTTATCCCCAGATCTCCGGGTTGCAAGATTCTGTTTTGTTCAAAAACACACCGAAGAGAAACTGGCACATATGCTCAGTGCACCAATACTCAGCTGTAAGAAAAGATAAAATGATGAAATTTGTGGCTACGTGGATCATCTGGAGAGTATCATGTGGTGTGAGTTAAGGGACAGACAGAATGATCTTCCTTATATTTGGTATATAAAGTAATATTGTAAAAAAAACAAGGAGTTATAGGCAAGAGAAAATGAGAACTAGTGTAGAAAGCATATCACTCTCGGGAGATAGAATAGGGCTGTGGGACATGGGCAAAATGATGAAGGGAAGCTGATACTCTGGTCTGTGTTGTTGGAATGTTTTTAGCATGAAACCCTGCCGTTATTGATACTGTAAGCCATGGTGCCCAAAATAATTATTTTTTAAAAAGCCTATTAGAACCAGGCTGATAGTACAGCATTTATCTTGCACACGGCCAACCTGGGTTTAATCCCCAACATCCCTTATGGTACCCCGACCTCACCAAAAGTAATGCCTGAGTACAGAATCGGGAGTAACCCCCGAGCACCACTGGGTGTGGCCCAAAAACAAAAAAAGCATATTGGCTGTGCCTCTTTTATCATACTGTGCCATGTGGTTAAACCTCGTTATCAAATCTGATTCTGGAAGGGGCATGGATTTTCTGTGTGTTATGTTGTCTAGTGTCCTATCATTATTAACTGGTGTCCTTTCCCTAAAATAAATATAATACGTAAAATTTTCTCTTCTTGGCTCAAAAGAGAGAGTTAGCTTCTGGATCTATATGATTTTCACAGCTCTAACCATGCTCAACTGCCTTTTGCTTGGCAGGATTCAGAAGGTGTGGACATCAAGCTAGGCGTGTGTGCGAATGGACTTCTCATTTACAAAGACAGACTGAGAATCAATCGTTTTGCTTGGCCGAAAATCTTGAAAATTTCCTATAAGCGCAGCAACTTCTACATTAAAGTGAGACCAGCAGAGGTAAGCAGTGTCATCTAAGGACATTTGATCAGCCTTCATCTTTGTCCCCCTCTGTCCATGTGCTAACCAAATTCTTTTTCACTGAAAGGAACTGGACTATTCTTTATCTTTGGCAGAGAAGGTCAGAGTTCTTGATAATTAACTGGAATACATATCTCTGCTTCTAAAAAAATATGAGCAAGAGATATGTGACACTCTGAGTTTGATCCCAAGTACTTCAAAAATAAAAATAAAAGCAAGAGCCAACCACATCATTCACAGAAAAGAAAAAATACCAAACACCTGCCATACAGTGGGAAATTATTTTTTTGTTGTTGGATTATCTTGGCATAGAGATCAGTAGGAAGGTAAAAAAAATTTTTTTCAGTGACTATTGAAGGATATAGTTGGTTTTTTTAGTAAAGGTTTTCAGAAAAACTTTTGTGGAAGTCTATGACAAATGCATCGTGTGTATAGTTAGATAGGCTGACGGTAACCTTTTTTAAGAAGAATAATTTCTCATAGAAAGATCTAAACTATTGTCTTCCCCTAACTCTGAAGGAAATAATGGTGATTTGTTGTTTAAATTTTTTTTAGCTGGAACAGTTTGAGAGCACCATTGGATTCAAGCTGCCAAACCACCGGGCCGCAAAAAGACTATGGAAAGTGTGTGTGGAGCATCATACTTTCTACAGGTGATTCTTAAGAAGCCGCTTGGTTTTGCTGGTGGTGCCCTCTGTGTGTAGAACGTATTAATATTAACGCATTATGGTTCTTTGCTTACCGAAAGACCTTCTTTGTCTGTAGTCCGGACCCATGTCCCTTGGTGTTACTCCAGCTGTGTCTTTTCATCATTTAGCACTTCCAAAACTCTGCTGGAATTCAAAGCTCTGACCAGTCTTTTTCCCTTCTCTCCGCACGCCTCTGCTGTTCTCTTGCCAGCCCAAATCCTGTGCCTGACCATTTCTAACTTCCTGTCAAGTAATCTAAACCCCTCAGACTTCTGGTTTGTTTTGTTGTTGTGGAGTTTTTATATTTTCTTCTGTTTTCTCACATCAAGCTGGCACTTTGATGGTCCTGTGTTTGTCCTATGTCCTCACCTCTGTTTTTCTATCACCTGTGGTATCACCAGGTGCTACCGTAAATACTTATCATGTGGCACTGACTTTCTTTAATAAAATCACAGAACTGTGTCAGTGGGCTGGAGCGATAGCACAGTGGTAGGGCATTTTCCTTGCATGCAGCCAACATGGCCGACCCAAGTTTGATTCCTCCGCCCCTCTTGGAGAGCCCGGCAAGCTACCGAGAGTATCTCGCCCGCACGGCAGAGCCTGGCAAGCTACCCGTGACGTATTCGATATGTCAAACACAGTAACAACAAAGTCTCTAATGTAGATGTTACTGGGCCTGCTCGAGCAAATCGATGAACAATGGGAGGACCATTACCATGTGTCAGTGCTCTTACAGATATTATTTTTCCTCCTTACATGTTCCTCTGCACTGCCAAACCATCAGCTTTTACTTCCTTTCCCTCCTTGAATATTCATAGTCTTCTTGGATCCTTTGTCCTCTTTCTCTGTTATTCTCCATGGGGGTGGGTGGAGGTGAGGAGGTACATGATAGTAGATGCTGGAGGTTATGAATGTGCCTGGATTCAATCATTTTTTTTCTCTTTTTTGCCCCAAATTATGCAGCCTCATTTCTCTCCTTCCATTTAGTCCTCTTCTCTTCTCTTTTTTGTTTTTTTTTTTGTTTTTAATTTTTTTTAATTAAAGAACTTTGTTTTGGGAACTTGGGGATACTAGTGGGGGGATGGTTGTTGGAGTATTGTGTGACTGAAATCTAATCATGAACATCTTTATAAGGGTCTATCTCACAGTGATTCGATACAAAATTTTTTTAAAAAAAACAAAGAACTATGTTTTACAAATTTACTGATAGTTGAGTTTTAAGCATACAATAATTTAATACCCGTCCCTTTGTTAGTGTCAACTTCTATCCACCAGAGTTCCCAGATCTTCTTTCCTGTTTTAAGGAAGAGTCATTCCTTTGCTTTGGTCTCTCATTTCTTGCCTCATAGGAATGTGCTTGTAAATGGTGAATCTGTCAATGGATGCCTTTGACTTCTTTGACCAATAAACATGCCATGACTTGATTTTTAAAACCCAAAACCCCAAAGAATTTGTCTCAGTATTTCTGTACTTTTCTTCAAGAGCATACACCTTATGAGTAATTTGCAGATCTTCATTTTTCTCTCCATCCTTAGTTTTCTATTCCTGCACTCTATATAGCTCTGCATCTAAAACCATCATCTTTAACATTTTTGCCCTGTACTCTTAGTGCCTAATCCTGCCCCACCACATACCAGAGGGTGATTGTGAGTAAGTTACTCAACTTCTCTGAGTCTCACTTTCATCATGTGATGGTTATAATAATAATCTCTATCTAGTGGGGTTGTTTTGAAAAATAAATGAGATAACGCATGTGAAATGACTTTAGAACCTTTTCTGACATGTAATGTTTATTATTGTTATTCTTAGCTTGATGCGAATTACTAGTTGGCACAGATGACTTCTTTGAGTTAAAATGTTTTCAGAATTGCTACAATCTATGCAGGAGAAATATATCTTTTAAAATACACTTATTAAATCACTCTTGGTTAACTTTGATCCCATAAATCTGAAAGGCTTACAGTTTTCCCTGGTGATAGCCAAGGCAAATTTTTCTTGAAGACAGTGCGTAAAATAAGAGCCAGCCTCAAGGCTGGTAGGTGACATTTGTGAATTAAATGAGACAGGTCCAGGCAGGACAGGTGGCAGACTTAGCTGTCAAATTATGAGCATAAAGCAGTAGTCATTTCAGAAATGGCAAGAGTTAGCATTTGTTGTGCATGCACTGTTTGATACAGCTCTTGCTTTACATTTTCACTTATTCTGTGACTCAGAGCCAGATGTTTGTCCAGAAGTACACCTTCCAGACACCCAGATATAGACAAAGAGAGATTCTCTGATCCTAGATTTCCACATGCTTCACATTTGCACTGCCAAGCCTCTCATTTCAACAGGCCTTTCCGAAATAGCAATTAGTCCCGCTGGGCCTCAGAACTCTCTTTTCCCTTCCGGTACCAGGGACTTCAATCTCAAAATATACTGATTTGTTCCTGCAAACTTTTGAGATCAAGATTTGCAAAAACTTTTTAGATTTTTAGACCTTTTATCATCTGGTTTACAAATGACACAAAACACTTAACACAGAAGGGCCAATAATAATTTGTCTGCAGAATGCTTTGAATCAAATCAGGAGTTGGTTCTGTTTTATCCCAAAAGGTGCAGATGATTCCCTTCGGGCAATTAGAATGACTTGCAGGTTGAAGCCTTTAGAAACAGAGCAGATCTTTGTTTTGATCACGAATCTGGTTGCACCTTGACATTGTCCTTGTACGAGTACTGGAGTCCAGCACCATTCTGTACATGGGTTATTACTATTAGCTTTTCCAACAGCGCTTCCGAGGCAGAGCCTGTTGTCCTCACTTTACAGATTACTGAGGAACAAAGAAGCTAAGAAACTTGTCCAAGCTAAGAAACAAAAAGAGAGGATGCTGTGACTCTCAAGGTCCCCAAGTGTACCCATCGTACTGTGTTTCCCGCTGTATTTGTTATAATGGTGCTTCACTCTGTTTTCTCGGTGCTCTTGCCGTTTATTGGTGGTGCTGGTATGTTATCAAGATTAACAAGAGATTCTTCTAGCTTGACTTTAAACTGCCATTTCAACCAAGGGTTGTGGATCCAATAATGCCATGTCAGCAGGAGTGTCAGCAGTTACTTCCAAGAGGACTTTATGGAAGCTTATGGCTCTCATTAAATATATGATTGACCCTAGAAAATTATTATATGTCTTTTTTTTTCTTAAGTGTTCCTTGACTTTCCCTGGATAAACAATATTTAGTTTTTCATGGCAGGGTTTTTATAAAATTAAAATTTTCATGTACTTAACAGCAATGAAAGTTGCTTTCTTTTGTGACATATCATTTACCTCAAGGCTTTCAAAGCTCTATGAGCATCAGTCTCTTGTTTTAGCTTTTAAATTATTACCAAAAGTGAAATAATGGTTTGTAGCAGTTGTTTTGTTGTGGTTTAGAGGTTATTCATAGAAAGAGAGGGTCTAAAGTGGAAAATAAAACTTAATAGCAAAAGCACATAATTAAGTAATCTAGAAGTGATAATATTGAAAGATTTTGCTTTGTCTGCATATTTCTTAGGAAGTTCACTACTTGTGTCATCAAAACAGTTCTTTTAGAGAAAGTTAATTGTTCAGCCTTTTTCTTATTTTGATATTAACTTCTATTAAATTAATCCTTTGTCTTCAGAAAGTTAATTTTTAAGCTACTGTTAATGTATGTGGTCAACAAAGCCAGTTGGGTGAGAAAATACTTTGATTTAATTTTTAAAAAACTAATCACTTTTTTTTTGCATTGTGATCTGTATTTGCCAGTAAAATATTTTACTTCTTGGATTTACATTTTTTGTAAAGTATCTTTCACAGATATTTGGAGAATTGTTTTGATATGTATTTAAATAGCAATCAACTGTTGGATCATTGCTTTCAAGAAAAATACATGCTGAGAGGATACTTGATTCTATGGAATTCTTTTCACTTACACTTAGATGTTTGATTGGCTGCTTAGCCCAGACTGAACAAATGAGACTTGTCTTAATAACTGGGAAGGGAAAAAAGACCAGTTTCATTTCTAAAATTTCTAAAAGGGTTATATGTGGCAGAGGGATTATTGATTTAAACTAAGAGTAAAATACTTCATAGTATTCTTTGCAGTGTGTCGGAAGTTGCACAGTTCATAGTCTAACTTCAGTTTCAAAACCCTAGCACAAAAACAGGTCAAAAGCACTGCTTAATTGCCATCACTGTGTAATACTAACAAAGAGATCTCTGAATTTTTGAGCTACTTAAGTTCAGTTCCCCCATATAGAAAAATGTGAACCAACCTGATACACAGAGAACCTAACACAGACTTGGGGTAGGAAATTATATAAAATAACCAAAAAGTGAAAAAACACTGGTAAAAGGCTTAATTTTCATTAATCATGCTTTCTGGACCATAAGTGTCTCAATCTTACCAAGTTTAATTTTGTAAAAAGAACTTGAGTGACTAAATTTTGAGAAAGATATGTCTCTCTACGTATGTATCCCTAATTTTTCCTCATAATTTACAACAGCAGTTACTCTGTTTCTAATTTCATCCCCCCTCCCGCAATTGAGAGGAACTTAGTGAGTGGATTTGATAACATCTTTAAGGGGTATCATTACCCTAGGGAGAAAGGAATAGTGGAATTGGAAATATGTGTTCTATCTCGCTATTTCCTCCATAGATGGAGATGATCTTTTCAGGAAGACATCAAGGCCTTTGAGTAAGACAGTTCCTCACCTGAGGATAGTCTACCTCTGACAGGTCAAATTCCCAATTTTCACATCTTCACTTCCAGTCCTCTTTATAAAAATTGTTATTTTATTTGAAAAGATCATTTAATATCTTCATATTAGATCCTTTCTCAATAGAATTTAAGCGTTTGGTATATTATTGTTGACTGTGGGTGCCATGTTATAGAGCAGAACTTGAGAGCTTATTCATCTTCCTTAGCTGAAACTTCATGTGAGTAATTAACAACTGCCTATTTCTCCCTCACCAATCTAGTCTAGTCTTTAATTCTATTAATTGACTATTTTGCATAACTCATATAAGTGATGGAGTGATAGCACAGTGGGTAAGGCATTTGCCGATCGGCCCAGGTTCGATTCCTCCACCCCTCTCGGAAAGCCCGCAAGCTACTGAGAGTATCTCACCCACACAGCAAAGCGTGGCAAGCTACCTGTGACGTATTAGATATGCCAAACACAGTAACAACAAGTCTCACAATGGAGGCTTTACTGGGTCCGCTCAAGCAACTCGATGAATAACGGGAGGACAGTGCTACAGTGCTACATATAAGTGGTACCATTCCAAATTGATCTCTCTGTATCTGGCTTGTTCTAATTGGTTTATTTCCTAAAGGTCCATCCTCCATGTCACATGTTGTAGAACTTCCTTTTAGAAAGATTTAATAGGGGCTGGAAAGAAGTTTAGGAGTAAGATAATATAGGGGTAAGCAAGCCTTGCATGCTGTTGGCCCCTGTTCATTCCCTGGCACAGCATACCATCTCTCAGTCCAAGAAGTAAGTTCCACAAGAGGTGGTTGGGGTCCCCCAAAACAAAAAAGGCAACAGTATTCCAGTCTGTGTAAGAGCTGCACTTCTTTATCCATCCATCTGTTGGTGAACATTGGATTGCTTTTACTCTGTTGTAAACAGAGTTGTAATTGCATGGATGTCCATCACTGTCACTGTCCTCCTGTTGGTCATCAATTTGCTCAAGCGGGCCCAGTAACGTCTCCATTGGAGACTTTGTTGTTACTGTGTTTGGCATATCGAATACAGCACGGGTAGCTTGCCAGGCTCTGCCGTGTGGGCGAGATACTCTCGGTAGCTTGCCGGGCTCTCCGAGAGGGGCGGAGGAATCGAACTCGGGTATGTTGGCTGCATGCAAGGCAAACGCCCTACCGCTGTGCTATCGCTCCAGCCCCATGGATGTCCATAAAGGTAAAGGTAAAGGCCCTCCCGTTGATCGTCGATTTGCTCGAGCGGGCCCAGTAACGTCTCCATTGGAGACTTTGTTGTTACTGTGTCTGGCATATCGAATACTCTCGGTAGCTTGCCGGGCTCTCCGAGAGGGGCGGAGGAATCGAACTCGGGTCGGCCATGTTGGCCGCTTGTAAGGCCAACGCCCTACCGCTGTGCTATCGCTCCAGCCCATGGATGTCCATGGATGTCCATATTAGACATATTACTTTTGGAAATTCTGATTTTAATTACTGTGATAAATTTCTGGAGAATTACCTGGAAGTGGGATTGCTGGATCATCTTTTATTAGTCTTTTGGTCAGTTGTTTGAGGAGCCTCCACAGGGTTTCCTATGATATGAGTATCATTTTGCATTCTTGCTAACAGTGCACCAGAGGCTTGATTTCATTAGATGCTCATTGATTTGTTGTCTTTAAGATTTGTGTGAAAATGCTGCTTTGGATCATCAATAAATGTTTCTCCTTTGGGATTTTCTTTAGAAATCTTTCCTTTTTCCACTGGTTGATAGCCCAGTAACCATAGAACATACTTGGTGATATCACTATATTTTTCCAGAACATTCTTTGATCGTTTTGTCTAGCTTAAGATAGGGAAGCTGTACAAATTTTCAACCCATCAGGAGACAGTGCTTGACCAATAACCATATTTTTCACCCTGCCCTCTACTGCGCGTGATTCAGTGCTGAGATAGTCAATATTTATGTGCCTTAGTTTTCCTGAGAACTGTTAGTGTATTCAGAGCATGGTGGATTGCTTTCTGATCTAAACTTATAGAATTCCTGCATTCTAGTTTAAAAAATAAACAGCTTTCCCAAAGTATACTTGAGACAAGGCACTATAATCAGATTATAGATTCTTAACTGTAATATTTGTATCTCCTTTTCAGATCTATTGGCAGTAAATGGAAGTTTGTAAGAAAACACTTCTGTTAGTTTTGCGTTGATCGTTAAAGCTGAGGGGCTCTAGTATATTACTTCTTTCATCTAACATGTTTAATTCCAATACCTTTATCTAAATTAATAAATACTGTTGGGATTTGGATATGATGGAGGAGTGCTTCTTATATTATTATTGTTTTATGTGGATTTCAGTTTTTTTGTTGTTGATGCAATTAAGCAAAGATTTCTGGAACAAGATCTCTAATAATAATTTACGACATTCATCTTAATTAGACAACAAAAGTGAGATAATTCCAGTTGTATTCCAGATAAGATTATCTCATTTACAAAAAAACATGCTTTTGTATAAGTATAGAAGTATTTTGACTTCATGGAAAATTGGCTTCACTATGAATCCAAAATTTAAGCAATAGAATTGTGCTAGCAAAAAAAAAAAAATTAGTCATCGCTACAGTTCTTCCAGTTCCTCTGTGTGCTATTTTTCATGGGAAAGAGTCACTTGATGGGACGGATTCCTGAGTTAGATGTTCTTTCCCAGGAGAAATAAATATAAATATTAAGAATTACTAATGGTAATGGATTGCTACTTGGCACTTATAGTTAGGAGCAAGAATTCAGACATATGTGTTTATATAAATGATTTAAACTCATACAAATAAATAACCTTTGATTCACGCCGAGAACAGCTGCTCTTTTGCTCAGGTTACAGCAAACATATGATTCATGAGTACATTAATGTTGATTTCATCATCATCTTGCTATCATGCAACTCTGCATATAGAAGGATTTAGGGATTTAGAGAGAATGTTCTTTCCCACTAGCAGTTTAGGAAACATTTTTCATATTGCCATAGTCATCCCTATTAAAAAGAGGAGATGTTTATATCAATAATTTTTGGCTAAAAAAATCCATGTAAAATCTTTGGGCCTAAGCATTAGTATAGCGGGTAGGATATATGCCTTGCAGGAGTCCAACTCAGATTTGATCACTGACAACCCATATGGACCATATGATCCCCTGAGTCCTGTCAAGAGTGATCCCTGAGTGCAGAGCCAGGACTAAGCCCCTTCCAAAAAAAGAAAAAATAATTCATAAAGTCTAATTTTGCTTATAAGCAAATTTCATGACTTCATCTTTCCCAGCAGCTGCTAACACCCAAGGACAGTAGAGGCCAGAAGTATTGTTCCATGGTTGGAAACCTGCCTCATGTGCTGGGGAGAAGGCTGCTGGAATAGAGAAGGGATCACTAAGTCAATGATAGTTGGAGGGATCGCTCAGGATGGGAGATGTGTGCTGAAAGTAGATAAAGGACCAAATGTGATCAGTATCAGTATTGCAAACCCAGTATCCCATAATGCCCAAAAGTAGAGAGAGAGTATGGGGGAAATTGTCTGCCATAGAGGCAGGGTGAGGGTTGAGTGGGGTTGAGGGTGGGGGTGGGGAATGGGTGTTCGATCATTGTATGACTGCAACTGCAACTCAACATGAAAAGCTTTGTAACTGTGTCTCACAGTGATAAATATTTTTTTTTAATGAATCACCGTGAGACACAGTTATAAATGATTTTTTTAAAGTCTAATTTTTTCCCCCCTTTACCCCTCTCTAGGCTTGTGTCTCCAGAGCAGCCACCAAAGGCCAAGTTCCTGACCCTAGGGTCCAAATTTCGCTACAGCGGCCGCACCCAGGCACAGACCCGGCAGGCTAGCACTCTCATCGACCGGCCTGCGCCGCACTTTGAGCGCACCTCTAGCAAACGGGCCTCTGAGATCCTGGATGGAGGTAAGCATGAGGGTCATGATTTTGGGTTCTTTCAGTCTTTCTCTCCAGTGGGACTAGAAAATGTTGATCTAGTCAATAGAGATCCTGGAAATAAACAAAACAGGTAACTGTTTTTTCTGCATAAATACATGCTGTTACACTTATCAGAAAGTTTTGTTGTGTTTTGAAATGGTCATTTTACATTTTCTTTATGCTTTTTACATTGATGAGATAGTGGGCAAGCATATTTTTTACTAGTGTAACTTAGTTGCAGTTTATGTTCTGTAACTTAAGTTTTTAAAACTTAGTAAAAATGTAATTTCTAAGGTTTTTTTTTAGTGTCAATGTGAATCATTATTTAAAAAAAAAAAAACCTTAAAGCATCTCCGGCATTAAATTTTTATGAATTTGAAAACTCTTGAGTCCATAATGGGGTGGACTTTGTTAAGAAAGAAAAATTGTTGGGGCTGGGATATATAGGACAGTGGTTAGGGTGCATACCTGTCCAGGACCTGAATTCAACTGGGTGCAGGACCAGAGACCCCCCAGCATTTCCAGAGGGCCCTGAGTAATCAGTATGGGCTCCAGGCAACATCCTCTAACCCTTGCATTGAACCACCACCTCAGTTGGTCAAGAATCACTAGCAGGTCCCTTAGGCCTCTTGAGCACTGCTTGGGAGACCCAGGAAAAAAAGATATCAAAAAGTTATTGACTTATTTAACTTTCCACCATTTGATAAACTTCCAGTTCGTATAGCACAGCGGTAGGGCGTTTGCCTTGCACGCAGCCAATATGGCCCACCCGAGTTCGATTCCTCCGCCCCTCTCAAAGAGCCCGGCAAGCTACTGAGAGTATCTCGCCCACACGGCAGAGCCTGGCAAGCTACCCGTGATGTATTCAATATGCCAAACGCAGTAACAACAAGTCTCACGATGGAGACGTTACTGGGCCCGCTGGAGCAAATCGATGAACAACGGGAGAACTGTAACGTGTGACCTGTGACCAGTTCATAACTCCAAATGATTAATTAAAATACAGCATTTTGTCACAAGGAAAGACATCATAAAATATTTGAATTGGTCCAGAGATATCTCTGAATATAAGAGGCAAGGTGCTTGCTTTGCATGCAGCTGACACTGGTTTGAATCCCAGCAGCACATAGAGTTCCCCTGAGCAACCACCAGGGGTCGCTTCAGAATACTGTCAATGTCCTCCCGTTGATTATCGATTTTCTTTAGTGGGCCCAGTAACGTCTCCATTGTGAGACTTTGTTGTTTCTGTGTTTTGGCATATCGGATAAGTCACGGGTAGCTTGCCAGGCTTTCCAAGAGGGGTGGAGGAATCAAATTTGGGTTGGCCAAGCTGGGTTCAATTCCTCCGCCCCTCTCGGAGAGCCTGGCAAGCTACTGAGAGTATTCAATATGCCAAACACAGTAACAAGAAGTCTCACAATGGAGACGTTACTGGGCCTGCTCCAAAACACAAAGCTAAGAATAGCCTCTGAGCAACTGGTCTCCTCCCACCCTCTTAAAAAAAAAGAATATTTGTTCTTTTGTCCAAAGGAAGGATAATATATGAATTTGAATAGTTTTCTATTAAAATTCTAGTTGGTTCTCTATATAGTATATAGTCTGTACAGTACATACTATATGTACTATATATTAATCCATTATTAACATATATGTGTGCATGTTTAGTTTAATAACAAAAAATTTTAAATAAAGGTAGCACTGTAGCACTGACATCCCATTGTTCATGAATTTGATTGAGCGGGCACCAGTAATGTCTCCATTGTGAGACTTGCTGTTACTGTGTTTGGCATATCGAATACATCACGGATAGCTTGCCAGACTTGGTCATGCAGGAGAGATACGCTCGGTAGCTTGCCGGGCTCTCCGAGAGGGGAGGAGGAATCGAACTCGGGTTGACCATGTTGGCTGCGTGCAAGGCGAACGCCCTACCCGCTGTGCTATGACTCCAGTCAGTAAATAAATAAATAAATAAAATTTTTAAGGTAATTTTATGTTAGAATGCTTCATGGAGGACTTAATTTTTCTGTCTAATAGAAAGTAATTTGACTTTCTATCATCTCAGTTTGTATACAAAAATACTAATATTGAATTATAGTACACATTAGAAAAATTAAATTGGAAAATTTTCAATACTACTTAGAATTTTTATGTTTTATTGCTGCTTCTGAGCCAAAACCTTTTTTTGATTACTTCTTCAACTGGTATCTTTCTGAAAAATTAACTTATATTTTAAATCACTAAAACCAGACAAGTTTCTAGGAAAAATCTGGTCTCTTGTTAGTGAAGGATTGACACCCCTTGATTTGGTCCATTTTTTTTTTCCAAAGTAAACTTTGAAGACAATACCTGTAGCCATGGAGGTATTTTCCAAAAATTACTAGTGAGATTTAGAATCTCCTATTTTTTTTATGAGACTTCATGAAAATGATGCTGGAGGACCACTAACTTCTAGCGGGGACACACCCAGCTGTGTGCTCAGAACTTATTCTTGGTTCTGCATTCAGGGATCACTCTTGCAGGGCTCGGGAGATCACTCACTGCAGGGTGCCAGGGAATCAAACTTGGTGGGCCATGTACAAGGCACAAGGCAAGCACCTTGCCCACTGTACACTGTATTGTCACTTGGCCCCTTTTGTCCAAATAAATGTCCATATTTCCAAGTGTAGCGATTAAAATTTAGTGAATTGTGAATGAAAGCTGACTAATCCAGGGTACCTTTTAGCCCATCAGCAGTGTACTTTTATCAAGTCAATCTGAAAAATGTCCTCACTCACAGGCCTTGCCCCTTGCCACAGAGAAATGTTACGAGTGCTGAATACATGCAATTAGTTCTTTAATGCCCCGAGAGAAACTATTTCACTTTCTGGGACACTGTTTCAACCTTTTTTTTTTTTAAAGTTATGAGCCTTTTTACCTCATGCATTGCAAATTTTAGAATTTAAAAGCAGCAAACCAGAGCATTTTCTTTGAGGTATATAAACTGTGCTTTAGGAAATCCACTATCTTGTATGGTCAGTTCATGTGTAGAGTTATAGTAGGTCTGTATCTGCAGACAATGATTTCCACAGTAAAAGCAACAAACATGGCACAGTAATCCATTATTTTTCCTTTTGTATTTTGGACACTGTAATTCATCAGATGGGCAAGTCATCAAAAGGATTATTGTGTTACTGTGGAAAAAAAAATAGGCTTTTCATGCCAATACATGACCAGGCAGCCAGTGAATTATTTGGTTAGAGCTTATGTTCGTTTCCTCCCTGCCAGAAGCAAAGCTTTGCTTGAGCTCGGTACTAAGCTTTTAACCCCCACCACAAGTTCTCATATATATGTGAGAACTTGTGGTGGGGGTTAAAAGCTTAGTACCGAGCTCAAGCAAAGCTCGGTATATATGTGAGAATATATATATATATATATATATATATATATATATATATATCTTTTCTGTTGTTGTTGACATGCATTGTAGTTTATTTTTTCCTGTCTTAAGTTAGACTAATTTAAAATGAATATATAAATATTTCCCACTTTCAGTTGGGACAAAATAAAATTTGGGGGTTGTGACATACAAAAAGTAAAAATCACTGTGATGTTAATATCAAATATCAAAACGAAAATATCTACACTGGCGATCTTAGAACAGTAGGATTCTGTGAGTCAGAAAGAGAGGGACACGCATAGAAATGAATATGAAGTAACAAAATAGGAGACTAACATCCAAGAATAGCCGAGATATGTACCAGGAGGTTCACTCCATGGCTTGGAGGCCAGCCGCACACGCTAGGGGGAAAGGCAGCTCAGATAGAGAAGGGAGCACCAAATAAAGGGTATTGGGAGGATCCTCCCAGGATGGGAGATGCATGCTGAAAGTAGACTATAGACCAAACATGATTGCCACCCAATGCCTCTTTTGCAAACCCCAGCACCCAAAAGGAGAGAGAGAGAACAAAAGGGAATGCGCTGCCACAGGGGTGGGGTGAGATGGGGGGCTTGGAGGGTGCGGTGGAAAGGATACTGAGAGCGTTGGAGGTAGAGAATGGGCACTGGTGAAGGGATGGGTACTAAATCATTGTATAACTGAAACCCAATCACAAAAAATTATAAGTCTACAACTGTACCTCATGGTGTGTCACTAATAAAAAATAAAAATAAAAATAGTAGGATTCTGTAATAGTAAAAGAATCAACCCCCAAATGATGAGCATGTGTAACCATGTGTATACTTGTGCCAAGTGCTTAAAGTAATGTTATTTATTTATTTTTAATGATCCTCTTAAATTATTTAGAACAATTTAAGAGGATGAGAGAAGGCACAGTGACAAGGAACAGTGCTATTGAGAGTAAAGGTGCGCATCTCCCAGGTGGTAAAAGGCCAGTTAGCTGTTTGGCACCAGAAGCTCAAATGCCACTGCACATAAGCTTCTCAGAGCTTCTGCATATTTAAAACTTGAAAAATAAATTAGCACGGTAGCACCATCATCCCATTGTGCATCTATTTGCTCAAGCGGGCACCAGTACCATCTCCATTGTGAGACTTGTTGTTACTGTTTCTGGCATATCGAATATGCCACGGGGAGCTTGCCAGGCTCTTCAGTGCGGGTGGAATACTCTTGGTTAGCTTGGCGGGCTCTCCGAGAGGGGTGGAGGAATCAAACCTGGGCCAGCCGTGTGCAAGGCAAATGCCCTACCCGCTGTGAAAAAAATATATAGCTCCAAAATACTATAAAGTCAAAAATTACTGCAGACTGAAAGGAAAAGTATTTAAAAGTATATAGTGCCAGGTTTTGTCAACATTTATTATAAAATGTTAAATTTAATATGTCTCATAGCCTTATTTTCCAGAGAAAAAATATTAAAAGTTTTCTGCAAGGTTAAAAATATTTAAGGCCAGTTCATTTCAGTGTTATGTTTTGGTCTGGGCTTTTCAATATATGAGCATTTAAGGGCTATCAAAGTTATAAAGGTGGTCACATTTATAGAAATGTGTCCACGAATTCTGTTGAACTTGCTGGTATTGAGGGATAAAGAAGTCATTGATGGTTTTGGCTTATGTTATTGGCTGCAGATAAGAGAGAAGTACTAGTGTACACGATGTCATAGAGAAGAAGGATGTATAGGTAGGGGACATTAAAAGTACAGATCAAAAGATATTACTTGGATTATGTATGTGTTTGTCTCCCAAATTCAGCATAACAACCCCTCCATGCAGGTATTTGTGTTTAGTGGGATTCCTTAGACACAAGGAAGCTGTGATACTTCACCATAACAGTCACATACTTTGCATAGAGCTGAGGAAATCTCAGTTGTTGTCTTGTTATTTGGGGGAGAAATTGTAGATGAACAGAGAGTTTTGCCTGCTGTAACTCTTCTTACCTTGTTGAAGTTCAGAGTTCAGGCCATTTTAAGTTGATTTACTATTTAATATATTCCTGCCTCTCTAGGAAAGATGACTGCAGGGGGTGAATGATCACTTGACCTGGTTTTCTGAGGCAGGAAGTTATCTGTGGATTGTACCAAAGGTTAAATTGAAGCACTTAAAAAAGATGAAATAGGAAAATTGTTTTAAAATCTACTTTGTCTTTTAAGTTTGGTATTTAACGTTTCCCTTATAGATGATTAAAATTTATTGAAGCAAATAATTTTAAAATGACTAGATAATTAGGTTTTGCAATGGGTAGGTTTTAAAAACAAGTTCAAAGAGACCCTGGAAAATTTTTGTAATTCTGACAGGTCCTGCTCTAATTGTTCAGCTGGTCTTAGAGCTCCTCCTATTGGCCAATTCTAGGATCAGAGTCCAAACTTGGAAATCTGATCTGAGAGCTAGGTGAATGTTGTGTTAAAATTCAGTACATTTTACAGTTTTTAAAACGTTTTAAAGTGAATTTCTTCTGTTTGGTGTTTGCGGAGCTTAAAGAATGTTTCTGTTTGCGGTAATAATTCTTCATGCTGCTATTTATCTACATAAGAGGGAGAAATCCCATCAAGTTTAACCATCTACATGTCTTAAAGTAATCCAATGATCACTCTTTTCTAGCTCTGATTGGGATTGTGGACCAAAGTCTTATGAAGGATTTTCCTGCCCCTGCTGGTGAGGTTTCAGCATATGGTCCTGGAGTAGTCACCACAGCTGTGGTACAAGATGGGGATGGCAGAAGGGACATCAGAAGCCCAGTGAAAGCCCCACATGTGCAAATCACTGAAGGAAAGGTACGGCACATGAATAAAATATGGCTTTTTGTGTGTTCTCAAGCTAGAGGCTGGTGGTTGTGTTTCATAACTCATATCACATGAAATTGTTCATTTGTGTTCTCTCTATGAGTTCCCAATTTTCAAATATGAATAGGTTCGTGCTGGTTTGTACAGGGTTTCTTATCTCTCTGGTTATCATTCAAAGCAAAATATTGTAACATGAATTACTTATATTTATGCAAGTAAGTAACTAACTGGCCTTGTTCAATAACTTTATAACCATCCTGTAGAGTTAAATCCTCAAATCATAAAAACTGTTGATGATTTTAAATTTGTATTTGGTTTGTTGCAAGTAGATTCAAAAGCATGATGTGTCTATTAATTATGAATACTTTTGAAATTAACTGTGGTATCCTTTATGAAAAAATCTTGTTCATTGATAATCTGTAACTGATAAGCGCTTAAGCACAGGGTAGCTTTGTGAATGGTAAGTGAGAAAATGACAATGTATTCTTTGTGATCCTATTTGATATGTATACTGCAGTGAGTGGAGAAGTTGACTATATTGTGTCTCCAGATTTGTCACTGTTCTTTTATGCTACTTTATCTCATCGAGATATTTACTTGCTTAGGTGACTGAGCAAGTAAAGTCACCTCGTGGTTGATTTGAAGAGGGTTTGAGCTTTTCCATCTCTCCCAGGGTTCTGCAAAAACATGTTTTTATAGGCAACATTTGAAGTGGAAACTGAATCATCCTATAGATTTGTTTTCTAAATTTTCACTTGAGAAGTTTGAAGACATGCAATGTGAGTGTTTAAAGACTCTTCGAGTCCCACAGGAATTCCTTTATGGATGACCTCTCTTGCCCAACATACCCATCCCCGGGATCCCTGGGCGGGTCTTGTCTAGACCACAGGTCACGGATTTCCATCTAATGACTCAGTTCCTTTGTTAAAGAAATTGTGTGTCATATTTGAAAAAAATTGGGGTTGAAAGTTATTTAGTTTAAAATAACATTGTTTGCAACAAGGCATCCTTCCACTTCAGAAACTTCTGCTGAAAAGTTGTCAGCATCTTTTATAGATATGCTAATGAGTCATGGAGGAAAGGAACTGCTTATATCAGAAACAAAGTAGCTCAGCATTTAGTCTTTTCATTTTGCTTAGTTAATTTCAAACGTCTAATTTATTTATTTTTTTTTAAACTTAATTTCAGAGGAAATTCTGCTTATTGTCAGCAAATGACTGGGTGTGCTGGCCTTTTTCCCTTGTGTTTTGGCTGTTTGTCAGCAGTCTGGTTTAAAAATAATCGCGTTCTCTGAGTTTCATAAGATCAATTTGCAATCAGGAGGGAAATAACATTTAAATCTATAGCTGTACACTTTATGATTGTCCAGTTCTTATCGCGTAAAATAGATAATTTAATTCATTTGCTAACGACACTGTGTTAATGCAGTCCCTGCTGCAAGTTGTCACTAACCATTTGTTCTCTTTCCTCCTCTTTTCCTCACCTTTGTTTTTCCTGTGCTGTGCCCATTGTGTGGTTTCCCATTGATTCATGGGTTTGCTTTGGAGAACAGCCCTTTTTCATGTGCTCCCCATCTCCACTCATCCGCTGTGCGTCATCTCTTTCCCCAAAGCTACTCCCGGTCCCCGAGATCGACTTGCTTTCTGACATTTCGGAGGAAGATCCCTTTGGGGAGGCTGACCAGACCACCCTCGACAGCTTAGAGCTCCTTTCCACGGGCGAAACCTCGGAGCAGGGGGACAGTGACATCACCCCTCTGGAGTCTGTCTCAGACCCTGGGATAGACTCTCCTCAGTCTCACTCTCCCCCAGCCCCCGAGAGGCCTCTAGCGGAGGCAGGCAATGAAAATTCCGGATTTGGATACTCTCCCTTCAGTTTCTGCAAATGCTTTTTGTCCAGCTTCCCCTCCCTTCTTGACGAAGATGGGTACCTTGCCTTCCCCAGCCTCCCCAAGGTCTGGGTCTCCTTCCTCCCCGCCGATGTTCAGCACTATGTGCCCATCTCCTCCCCTTCCTTCCTCCCTTCCCTCATCCTTATCTTTGGGCTACTTCTCTCTGCTTCTCAGTCAGTGCCTTTTTCTCTCACCTTTTCCCTTCCTCTGGCTCTATCCCTCTGCTACCTGGAGGCGAAAGCCACTTCCCTTAATGTGCATTACGACTGTGACTTGAATGACAAAATCGAGGAAGAGGAAGCCATTGCTGGCATCGCTACATAAGCTTCAGTGTGTGGGAGGGTCAACAAAACTGGACTTTATTTTTAACCATTCCTGATGTAGAGTGTAAACATGTGCATAATTTTCACCCCCACTTACCCTCACCATATGATAACGTGCACATTTTCACATTTACACACACACACACACACACACACCCCTACACCCCTCTCTCTGTTTTTTTAGTGCATGAGCAATCTAAGTGTAAGTACTCATCCTATCCTTTGATTTCCATTGAGTAGGTCCGTACAGTCTGTTAAGCAAAGTTATAGGGTTTATAAATATCTAGAACATACTAGATTTAAACAGGAGAGCAGGAACCCTCTATTCCCTTTAACCATCCATGTTGATTGGATGTGTCTGTTTTGCAGATAAATATTAATTCTTCACTTTTGAGATGGAAACTTTTTGATAGAAGCAAATAGGGTATACAGTGGATATTGCTGCAATTGATGTACATTAGTCAAGAGTCCTTACTACTCTTATAGCTCTTGTTAGAAAGCCAAATTTGTTTTTGTAGTTAGGGAAGGATGCATCTGTAATCTTCGCACCTGACTTTTGTAGGTCTAATTTCAGAAACTTCTTGCATTTGGGATCCAGGTGAATTTCAGGTAGATATTTCAGCTCTAAATTACACAGTTATGTGAACGAGTCAGTGTCGGGTATTTTCTAAGAAGATAAACAATTGTTTTCTTTAGCAAAAGTATATGAAAAAGGGCTTTTTGAAAATTAGACTAAGAAACCCTAAAGGTCAGCCTTCTTAGTGTTCTTTTACTTAAAAGTACATGTCTGATTGGAAATTTTCACCCCTGTACTATAAAGTACTTTATGTGTACAGTATGTTTTTGATTATTGTGTTAAGTGTAGTCTGGTGACTTAGCATCTCATATTTTGTGGGTAATATTAATCAATAAAGCAAGTCACAATTATAAGGAAACCTAAAGAAAAATGTGAAGCTGCTTCTATGAGTAGATTTTGTGTGAGAAACAGGGATTCTTACAGGTCACTTAAGAAATGCCAAAGTTAGACATTAAATACAATGTTAAGAATTCATTATTGACCAAGGAACTGGAAGTTGATTAATTCTTAATAAATGACTATGTCTCATTTTTACTTCTAAAAATTAAAACTTTGAACTACCCTCATAACTCTCAAATGGACTGGAATGATTTTTCGAAGAAATAAATGTTTTGAATTCTCGGATTCTGATACTAAGATTCCAGTAAAGAAAAATAAGAATATGTTATCCTACTATGAATTAACATGTAGGGTTAAACTTTTCTTTGGAAAAAAAAATTCAATGTTTTCTTTCTTGCCATTCCTTTCCTTGAGTCAATGGTCAGTCTGAAAAAGGACTAAATAAAAACTATGTCAGTTTTAAACTTGTACATACATTCTTTTGGATTAGAAGCTAATTCCTCCACTCGCAGAAAGGAATCTTTGTTAAGCCAAAATAAGGTGTGAGCATTTATCCCTGACATAACGCTAAAGCCAGATTTTATGTAAAAGTATTTTTTTCTTCATCTTTCTGATTTTAACATTTCCAAGTAAGAAAGATCGAATTATGCCATTTTTACACTCTCAAACTTGTATTTTTGAGTAAACAAAAATATTTCAACGAAGCATGTAAATTAGGGACTGAGAAAGAGTGAAGCTTCTGTTCTCCATCCCACCTTTGCAAAGGATCATTATCATCATCTGTACAACAAACACTAGGTGAAGAAAGACCAAAGTGACTTAATATTCTGCATTTTCTGAGGGCCAGACAATAAAGGTTGGTAATGCCAATTCACCTTTTAAGTGCAAATACAACTTCTTTGTACTATGGTAGCGTTGTCTCTAATAAGACTTCCATTCTTTCTGGCCATTTGCTGTGTGACATCAGGTGGAGATGGAAGAAGAAGAAACACAGATGGAGGAGGTGGATATTTGCTCCCCCCAAATTAAATGTCTTGTGGCTGCTCTCTGCCATTATTATTGTGTGCGTGAGGGGGAAGAGGCGGGAGGGGGAGGCAGCATTGTATTTTCAGTGTTGATTTGTAAGGGCTTTTTGCTTATTGCGGCGTTACGTTTTTAAGGTTTTTGTTTCCTTTGAATGTCAAACTATCCAGCTCTGGGTCATTTCTGGTGCTTGCTGATTGATACACATGTTTATTTGCCTTTTCCCTGTGTGTGATTTAATTTCACAGAAAAATTCCTTGAGAGTAGAAGGGGATAATATTTATGTCAGACATAGCAATTTAATGTTGGAGGTTTGTATAACTTAAGAACCCAACTCTGTCCTCATGGCTGCCAGGCTGCTGTGGATGGGAGGTCACACCCAGGCTGTCTGCAACTTTCTTCGAACACAATGCATGGGATGCATGGGGTTCAATTCAGCTTGGGGACTGCATGAAGCTGGCCTGACTTTGTCCTTTGAAAGTGACTTAGGTAGGACTATGTCTACCGGAAGTTCTCAACGTGACGACTGGGAAGAGAAGTTCTTCTTAGTCAAAGGAATAATGTTTTTATCTATTAATCTTAAAAGTTAACTCCACAAGTAGCCTGTTTTTCCCTACTGGGTTATTCTCTGAGATGTAGAATCTGAAGTAACATGGTCCCATACTTTAAAATAATTCAGCAGAATGATTTGGGGGCAATAAATTGACTCTCGAATTTTGTTTAAGTGACGTGTGCTCATAAATTGGGGGTCGGGGAGGGGGTGGGAGAGCACTAAAAATCTATACAGCTAGAAATATGTTTCTATTAGAACTGTTAATTAATGGAATTATTTTGATTAAAAGAAAGAGTAAATGAAAGTAGGGGAAGGAGGGGCAAAAGGGGATGAAAAATAAAAATCTAGTTAATGTGAAATATATTCCCCGTGTCACATGAGAACAGTTTTTTCCTCTTCTTATTTTAGGGTAATAAGTGGCAATGTATTCTCTGGAAACCTGCATTTCTTAGTAATCTGACTAATTTGTTTGGTTGCTTTTGGAGCTTTGATACCTTTTGGAAATGAATGCATAACTTACTAAAATGCTCTCAAGTGTAATACATAACATTGCTTTGAACAAATGCAAGAAATGTGCCTAATCTCAAGCCACAGTCTATTTTTTTTTAATGCCATGCAAAGATTTTTAGGTTTTCGTGAATTTTGCAGATGACTATAGATGCTCACAGATGAGCTCGTATATGCTTGTGCATGAATATGGAATATCTAATTTTATCAGATGCATGCCCTGTTCCTTGGGGAGTGGGATGGAAGCTATAATCCACAAGTGGCCCCAGCATTTTTTGAAACATTAGAAAACCATTTAAAATTCAGTTAGCATCTTTTCTGAGATACAGATTACCTTTTATACTCATGAATTCTATTTATGGGGCCAGTCTGGGGACACCTCACAGATGCCACAACTTATCAGGGTCTACTCCAGTGGAAAAGAACCTGGTAGCTTTTCTTGTGTCTCTGTCTGTAGAAGGACTATTTGGTATTTGGTGCGGACGGGGCTCGCATTTGTATTTGGCGAGTACATGCCAGCAAGCCAGCAGGTGGTTCATTTAGAGCAGCCTCTGGAAACCCTTATTTTTCTTCCTTACCGATGAAAGTTGGAGTATCCGGAAAAAGTAAATCCTTGTCTTTTGGTTTGCCTTTTTTGTATGATCCTGAACTAGCCTTCTCCTTGGCAAATGTGCCCATGAGAGTACTTTTTCTGTACATTACATTTGTGATTTACAAATTTTCCAGAATGAGTCTTAGCAGCAGCCCTCATCAGAAAGATAAATTTGTAGAATAACGTTACAGACTATATTTCCAATCCAAGTATTAGAAGAAGGTCTATTAATCGTTTTGATTATTAATTCCATGGCTTTCTTCAAATCATGTAAATAATTTCCCCAGGCATTCTAAACAGAAGAAATTAGAATTCCTTAAAATGTGAAATCAAAAATATACTACCCATTGGCTTTTCTTTTCAAATTTTGATGAACTTACTGAGGTTATTTGTAGGTGATACTATGGCTTTTGAGACTTGGCATTTTTCTTGCTTTACTGTGTTTTTTTAAATCATAAGTTTGCTTTGTCTTATTTTTGGGTTTTTGTTTGTTTTTTGTTTTTTGTTTTTTTGTCCTGCTGGATTTTTTTCCTTTTGGATTTCCTCCCCCTTTATTACATTACATATCGATAGGACCTGGATAGAGCCCAGGAGGAAATACTGAAACATCAGGCTAGCATTAGTGAACTCAAGCGCAATTTTATGGAGTCCACACCTGAGCCGCGCCCTAATGAGTGGGAAAAACGACGTATCACACCTCTGTCTCTACAGACTCACGGGGTATGTCGCTAGCTGTTTGTCGGCTGTATGTCTTGCTCCAAGCTGTTCATTAAAATTCAAATTGTTTATTGTGTTAAGCCTTAGGAAATTAGAAAATGTACCCACTTAAGTAATTTTTTTTTGTTAAATGTGACTGCTAACCATTTTTTTAAAATACTAAATATTAACAATGCATTTCTTTTTGACTTAGTTCTTAGGTGAATTGTATAAATTTCAAAATAGTTTTGAAATACTTAAGGATAGTTTTGCTGTTTTTTCAAGCTAATTAGCAGCAGTGCATGTGTAGAATGGCTTAGAAACAAATATATGATGTTTGATAAGCTCTTTAGACACTGACTTATGAAATAAGATACTCTGTGTAATTTAGTAGTGTGTAATTAAAGAGGTGTAGAAAATTAGACCATATAAGGATGGTTTAAGGTAATTGCTGTGATGAAAGTAAGTTAACTTTGAAGACTGTTTAATCTGTTGAAAAGTTACAAAATATTATTTCATAGAACTAAATGTGAAACTTGTTTGTAATAAAATGCAGACTAGTGTTTTAATTTCTTCAATCATAACCCTTCTCTAAACTTTTCATAATTCATTTCTTTTCACCACCAATATAAGTGATGACTTTAGAATTTATTCTCAAAATATTTCTCCATTCATTCCCACCTACAGCTGTTCTCTTGTGATGCTCCAATATATCGCCTATTAACTACCAGAAACTTTCATGGGGTTATTTATTGTACTTGAAAGAGGTACAGTGATTGTACCTGTATTCAGTATGCATTTTAAAGTATGTAAAGGTGTTAATCTACGCTTCATCTTTCTCTTTTTCCTTACATCCGTCTCTTTAAATTCAATAGCTATTCTAATGATGTCAAATTGTGGGCCATCGTGATCCATGTTACTTTATTTACCTTTTCTTTCAAATCAACACTGTTTATTTTCAAAAGAAAAGAGAGCCTTAGTAGATGGACAAAAACACTTGTTGAACTGAAAAATAGATCAGAAAACCATTAATTTTTAAAAAACTATAATAAAGTGTCTTAGAAAACTGAATACAACTTATATTCTTGTTTTTCTATTTTAAAGATATTAAAGTCCATATTTCAACAGTTGATTCTAGAGTATTGCGCATTTGGGGAAACTGTATCTGACATATTGTGATTTTTGTCTTCCTTTGTGTGCTGCTTCGTCTGGTTTGTGTTGCTGATCCACACAGTGATTTTGTTTGTGTTGCTATAGGTGTGATGTACTTGTCTTATTTGTTGATTATGTCTATTGTTTAAAACAATAGAGAAAAGGAGACCATCTTTTCAAGGATATTTTGTCCATGAAGGAGAAGCTTCCGATGGTGACAACGCAGAAAATTGAAGAAAAAGCCCAGGAGGCAGACAAGGTGTTCACCTTGCATCCTTGGATCTGCTTTTGCTTTATTTCACCTTTTCTGTTATTTCTGTCCACAGCTCTAAGATAACACCTGTGGTTTTTTTTTTGTGAAACTGATGCATCAACCTGTATTATTTCTGAAGTAATTTTTGAGGGTTTAAAAAAGATGAATTCTCCATGTATAGGAACAGGGGACACTGAGTGACAACTGACACAGTGCAGAAGTACTTTATTTGAAAACATACAATTTGGAATGTAGACATTATCAACCCATTTAGGGGATCAGTGGCCCCTTATTTGATGTATGTGGCTGACAACTGGGAAACCATGATTTCTTGCAAAAATGCACCGTTTGTAGAACACCAATACACCCTGTGGTAGTATTGACAAAACAAATTGTATGTTGCATAGGTTAGTAGTTCATGAATTACATTTGGAAATTTTTTAATTTCCAGTTTTAGGTACTTTACTGGAAAAAGGTTTTTGCTAGACGTAGCAGCCCATCAGATCTCTCTCTTTCTTTCTCTCTCTCTCTCTCATTTGAAATGTCTGGTATTACTAAGGGAGGTTAACTCTTGCTTTTATCTTCTTACTCTTTCTGCTGATTTTGCTTAGCAGCTGGCTTAAAGGTTAGTCAGCAACTCTAAAACTTATTTGCTGTAACTTGAATGTTTATAGTCTGGTGCAGGAGAAAGACAGTGAAGACAGAAATTAGCTATTAGAAATTTTTGAGACTAAGAAGTGTTAAGAAGATAAACTAAAATATTGTGTTGCAAGGTAATTGGGAAGGCTGCTTTACCATTGTGATCAGGAATAGAAGACATTTGACTTGGTATCTTCTTAGTCATGAGAAGGAGCTGTCCAGGTGAGGATTTTTTTCATGTGTAAGGAAGTATAAGTGCAGTAACTTCAAGCAGGAAAGGAGTGAACAAAGGAGAAAGACTTAGGAAAAGTCAGGGAGATTGGATCTGTTAGTCCTTTTAAAGACCTTATTAACAGCTTAGAATTGTTTCATAGGAGTGACCTCATTGTGTTAAGGCCATTGGAGAACTTTAAGGTGGGTAGTGAACCTCAGAGATATGAATGAGAACAGTGACCAGTAATAAGGAAAGTTACTGCCCATAAAGTTTGATTTTGTTAATAAACTATTAATGACAACATAGAGTGGGGTGGAGGAAGAGGCAAAATGAAGTCTTAGGAATTTGTGGTCTAGTTGAGATGAAGTAGTTCCAGATTTGATAAAGATAGCGTCATAATGACATATTTACATACCGTAAAAGCTGGCCTGAAATCCAAAGCCAATTTCACTCTATGTGTGAAATAATGGTAATGTCATATGTTTTGAATTAATGTGTAGTTTTGAAAATTTATCCTTTGTAAGGAAGTCCAGTGGCATTAGTTTGATCAGTTTAGAGTAGGAAACTAAAATTTTTGTTGGTGTTTAAAATTATTATTTTTGAGCTCATAGTTTAGTAATGTTCAATACGAAAATGTCTTGTGGAAGTTAGATTAAAATGAAGTTACGTAAAACTTAAAACATTACCAATGGTTAATTTTAAGTGGTTTTTCTGCACATGGAGTTTTGTCTATTTTCTGTTCTTTTTCTCTCCAAAACACAAGCATATGCTTATTTTTCATACCTATGAATTACTGTATCATTACATTCATTTTTACCCGGTAGGCATTTTCCCACCCTCTGTTGTCTTTTTTTTTCCCCCCTTAATAGCATCACTATTAGTTGAAATAATGTAAGTTCAATAAATGGACTGGATTATTTTAACTTTCAACATACTGTCTTTTATATTTCTATTTTTGTTTCATTTTTATTTTGCTGCTAAATTTGTAGGATTTCTTGATTATTGTAATATTATCCTGAATGAAATGTAATAGAAGAAATTATAAATATAATTTGACAAACTCCCTAAATTTCTGTATTTTGGCTCTTTATAGATCAAAATAATAATTTTTATTTACAATACACTTCAGTATTTTTGAAAAGCTTCTGTTTGAAAAAGGAATTTACAGTATAAAATCAGAGGCCAAATTGTTTGGTTTCTAACAAGCAAATTACTATATGGTAAACACAACTTCTAAATAAAAGTTTGCTGGGAAAATTGGGATGCACTTTAACATATATAAGTGATTAAATCTAGCAGAAATACCTAACTGTACTTCTAAAGTACTTTTGAAGATATTTTGTTGAACAGACAAATGTTGGCTGTGTATTTAAACTCTCTAGTGATCTCTTACTGAGAAAACAGTATCTTTTTCCCATCTGACCTGTAGAGGTGATGCAGTTGTGGTGATTGAATTAAGCTGAATTAACCTCAAAGCTTTTGTTCTCTACTGAATGAACAGTGCAAGTGCTTAAGCACTTCATCTCTTCATTCCTTCTCTCCCTGTTTTTAACACAATTTCCTACGGGGACATTATGGAAGTATCATTTATTCACTCACCTTGAAATGTCATTCACTCATGTCTCTAAGCAGTGGGGTTCGCTAGCAAGTATAAGGGGGAGGCTTATGGTGGCTCTTTACACTTGACCTTGCACACACCTGGAGCCAGTTCACAGCTTTCTTCCTGTTCTTTCACACAAATTACTGCCATTTTGACCTCATTTACAGGCCAGAATGGAGAAGATTAAATGTATCTCCATGTTTTCCGGCACAGTTGATTTTTTATATCGCTTACTGAGTTTCAAGGCTGAAGCGATAGCACAGCGGGTAGGGTGTTTGCCTTGCACACATTAACCTGGGTTCGATTACTCCATCCCTCTCAGAGAGCCCGGCAGCAAGCTACCGAGAGTATCCCGCCTGCACAGCAGAGCCTGGCACGCTCCCCGTGGTGTATTCGATATGCCAAATACAGTAACAAGTCTCACAATGAAGACGTTACTGGTGCCTGCTCGAGCAAATCAATGAACAAATGGACAACAGTGCTACAGTGCAGTGCTTACTGAGTTTCCACTTCTGCATGTTTTCCTATTTAGAATTTTTTTTTCTTTAAATAGATAGAGGAAAGGCCCTCTCTCTTCACTCCACAGCATATTTAGCTTGCCCCAGGCAAGAACACTTGCTACCTAGACAGCTCAAGTGGTGTAGATACAGAAAGAGATTGCAGGAATTGGAATAGTTATGGAAGGCTATGCAGAAACCACATAATACTGCATGAACCGCAGATGGCAGAATTGGCCAGGGGAAGCAGAAAGCCAAGGTCACCCACTCGCTTCAGGAGAGGAATGAGCATTGCAGGGGTCAGGTTTGATGAAGAGTTACCTTAGGAACTTCTGAAATAGTATTTGATGGGTGGTGGGTAGGTTGTGCTCAGCGGGTGTTTAAATTTAAGTGACCATCCAAGACATTTTAGATGCTTTTTGTAGGTTAGAGCTATCAAACATTCTCAGACCTGGGGAGAAGCTGGCATTCAAGAAAACCGCCAAATAACGCCTGGCTGCTGAATCTTTCTGAATCTGTGCTTTTCTTTCAGTGTGTGCAGTGATGTAATTCTTTCCCTGTATAACCTTTCCTTTCTTTCAGTAGGTCACTGCTGTCTATTCTGACTCATTGTTAATTCTCTGCTCTTCCCTTTCTGACCTCTCTAGAGTCTAGAAGAGGAGATAACATCACTTTTGTTTAGTGAAAAGGGCTTTTCTGATAGCGTGAAAGCCTCCTTCACCTCAGCCACCAGTTGGACAGCAGAGGGCACTGTTGTGAGCTCTAATGCCCCTTCTGAAAAGCTTTCTTCCTGGCCCTTCTCACAGTTGCCTGAGGTGCATTTTCCTTTGTTTCCCCTGTTTTTAAAAGCCACTTCTGAAAAGCCATTTTCAGTGTCTGGATAGTCGTTCCGGGTCCCTCCAGTACTCTCAATGGTGAAATTAAGTCCTGGTAGAAATGTTCAAGAGATGTTGCCCAAATTTGGATTTGAGGAAATGATCCAGATTGAATGTTTCTTCTGTTTCTTTTGGCCCTTCTCTCATATATGCCTAAAATAAGAGAATCATATCTATCATTAAAGCTATAGTCTTGAGTTTTTAATGCAGAAGAAAACCTCAATTTAAAAAAAAAAAGCTGAGTTTGCTTTGAAGAATTAAGTTTACATTTCCATGTCATTCAGACATCTTCTGATGACTTACTCAAATTCTGTTTATGTGAAAAAATTTCAGGTCCCTGCTGTACTTTGAGAAATACTATTTTTTTAAATGAGTCATTCTTTAAATGATTCCCTGAAGTTAGGCAGAACTCATTCAGTCAGTTTGAGTTAGCGAATACTGACTAAGCATGAAATGACAACTTTAGAAATTTTCTGATCACTGGCTATTTTTAATTATAAAGTCATTTGTAAGGAGCCACCCAGCTTGTTAAGTGGAACTTGTTTTTCAGAAGAGATTCAAGTTTTTCAAGTTCAATATCTGAGATTTCTGACATTTCAATAAAATGGAAAGGATGGCTCAGTAACATGATTGACATGTTGTTTCCAGTGATGAAAGCCTACCCTTACTATTCCTTTAAGATAATACAGATCAGAGAGAACATATGCGTACGTGGTGATAGGAGCTGCTAAGGAGAGTGCCCTTGTAGGACCTTTTGCTCCTGCTTGCTGAGGTTGGTAGGGCAGATAAGCAGGAGATCTGCTCTCTATTGTAGTAGTAACAGCTCCGGTCCACTTAGTGTCTTGGCAACCACACAGGGTTTTATTTCTGCCCAGAAGGTTCAGAGGCACAGTGCCCTTATCCATTCCTCATGGAAATGCTTTCTTGAATAAATGGGTGGAGGTGGGGCGCTACTGTTTACAGCTGAATTATTTTTAAGTTAATCTTATGCCACCCAAATGTCAGAAAGTTGGCTAAACTTTACTCGTATCTTTATAAAAGAGCCTTCCTTATACATTTGGGGCAAAGTGTATGTATGTTTTAAAAAACAAACTTCTGGGTGGAGTGGAGGCCAAGAGATAGTACAGGGTTGAAGCCACTTACCCTGCACAAAGTCTACCCAGTTCCATCCAGGACACTGCATTTAGTTCCCTGACCACTGCCAGGAGTGAACCCTGAGCACAGCCAGGTGTGACCCAAGCCCTCACCCCCATTTTTAAAAGTTTAAAAATGAATTTAGAAAGTTTCTGTCCTTGTTGTCCAATACTGCAAACATAGCAGTTTATATTACTATAAGAGATTTGTGTTCACTAGATTTTCATTTAACATTTTAAGGACTACACTACTTTATCAGACTTACTCCCAAGAAATAGTATCTGCAGGGTGCAAGAGAACATCTCAAATACATATTTGATTTCATTTCAGTGTTCAGAGATGCTAGTGGAGAAACTTTTTTTTTTATTATTTTTTCATTTTGGGTCACACCCGGCAATGCTCAGGGGTTACTCCTGGCTCTGCACTCAGGAATTACCCCTGGCGGTGCTCAGGGGACCATATGGGATGCTGGGAATCAAATTCGGGTCGGCCGCGTGCAAGGCAAATGCCCTACCCGCTGTGCTATCGCCCCAGCCCCAAGAAACAAAATTCTAAAGAGAAGTCTTGGAGCTATCATTGACACCCTCCTGAATTTGATCGTATCCCTTTCGCTAATCTCTTACACAGTTTGGGATGTTTATAAGCATTTCTGAAACGATACGTTTTTCTATTACTTTCTGAGAAAACTATATGTTGGCCAGTAAAAAAGCTGAGCTTTTTTGTTGTTTTTTTAAATGAGCCAACCAAAAAAAAAAAAGATGTTCCATTTCATGAATCCTGTATTCATTTGGGAATCAGGGTTTTCAGTTAGGCTTTGTTATCTGACAAAATTCAAAACTTTGTGGAATTGGATTTAAACATCTTAAAACTTGAGCCACTAAATGTTGGTAGAATTCCATTTTTGCACCCTCCCCCCGCCCCCCCACCATTTTCAGCTCAGTGGCACTTATAGTTATGACTACAATAAAAGTATGATTTTTCCCTGGGAGAATGCTGGTGACTTTATTTTTCCTTTTGTAACTTTTAAAAGCGCGTTTGTCTTGGGTGTCCTTTATGTGACCACAAACAAAGGTTTTTCGTAGCTGTTGGCTCTTGCTCTCCTGTCCTTGCCGTGTCAGATGTTTGTTTCCATGGGTGTTGCGGTAAAACCGTATTGATTTTGTGTCCTTGGTTGCTTTTTGTTTCGCAGAGACGCGCTCCCGAATCCGAAGGGCCTTGCGCTGGAGCCAGTGATGCTGTCAAGGTTCTCCCCTTTTCCGTGTTCACACCACTGCTTGACATGTCTCACCACCCCTCCCGTTGGCCCCGCTTTCCTTTCAGTCAGCCGTCATAACCATCTGTGTGTTCCTCCATGACATGAGCCCACCATCAGTTAATCTTGGTTCTTTCATCGTTTGTTTTTTTTTAAATCTATTCACGTATTTTTTTTGTTTTGTTTTTTCCCTCGTCCATTTTTGTTTTGTTTGTTTGTTTGTTTTTGCACAGAGTTCACATGAGACTCTGAATGTAGTGGAGGAGAAGCAGCAGGCAGAGGTTGGGAAAGACGAAAGAGTAATCACAGAAGAAATGAACGGTAAAGAGCTATCACCTGGGAGTGGTCCTGGGGAGATGCCTAAGGTGGAGCCTCTGACACAGAAAGACTCCACCTCCCTGTCTTCTGAGAGCAGCAGCAGCAGCAGTGAGAGCGAGGAGGAAGATGTGGGAGAGTACCGGCCCCACCACCGAGTCACCGAGGGCACCATAAGGGAAGAGCAGGAGGAGGAGGAGGAAGAGGTGGAGGAAGAAGCCGGCCGAGCAGCCAAGGTAGTAGAGAGGGAGGAAGCAGTGCCAGAAGCCAGCCCAGGCAAACAAGCAGGGGCCAGTGTAATCACAGTAGACACAGTGACCCAGGAAAATGTAGGGGAGCCCACGATGCCTGCTGAGAAGAGTGTAAACGAAGGCACTATTAAGCAAGACATGAGCGAAGAAACAGAGGAGGAGCAACATAAAGTTAACGGAGAGGTGGCTCATGTTGACATTGATGTTTTGCCAGAGATTATTTGTTGTTCCGAGGTAAATGGGCATCTGGAACTGTTTCTCAGGTGGAGAGCACCTGCCTTTCTTCTTCTCCTGTCCTCCTGATCTCTCCTGCGGCCTTTTCAACTTGATTCTGGTGTTGGCCTCTGGCAGAGGGGAGGACGGGACCGCGTTGCTTTGTCGATTCTTCTGCCAGCTCCGTTCCTGGTCTCTAGCTTCTTCTCCCAACTGGATCACCGGGTAGAGCAGACTTTGCTGCAGCAGCTACACCGTTTGTTGTATTTCTTCTCATTTCACATTTGAGTTTTCCTTTGCATGTTTTGGCTGTCTTCGGCTGTTCTCCCTTGGTTGCACTCCTGCCTAATACTTCCTGCCTTTTTTGGTTGGGCTTCATCCGAAAATTGTATGCGCAGTGTTGAAGAATGGTCACTGCGAGTGTGTCTGTGATTGTGTTTGAGTCTCTGGCTCTTTCATTCTCTCTCTCTCTCTCTCTCTCTCTCTCTCTCTCTCTCTCTCTCTCTCCCCCCAGCTTGAGACTTTTTTAAATGGCAGCAGACTCTGATTACCACAGTGCTCTGAATTCAGCATCTGGCAGTGTGATGACAACAGTATTTCTTGAATACCACAGTGATTTCTGTGTTTAGATTCTAGGCATTGTAGGGGCTGGGTAAGAGCCTTCTCTTCCCTTTGAGGAAACCAGGCACTAAACTGGCGAACAGGAGGATTCCTGTCTCCTCTGATTCTTCCCTACCATTAATTGTGGATTATTTGCAAACTGGTTTTAGGTTTTGTGAATTACCTACTTGGGGAATGAATCCTTTATTTTTTCTCCTTGTAACACAAAGCGTCCACTCTCCTCTGAGAGAGTGTCTTGGTCCCTGAGTGCACTGTCTAAATTAAGTTAAAGTTACGCTGAGAAAGGTTTACAAACATCCATGTGAATATTTCTTGATTCTAAAATTAAAGGTCGCAGTGCAAGGAGTATCTGTATCCCTTTGAAGGACTAGAAAATCTTGAAGCGATTTTATTGAAATAGTTAACTGTATTTTAGTTGTTACCCTTGAACCATTTCACTCCAGAGAAGGTATGTTTTAAGAGTCTTTGAACACTCTGAACCAGTTTCTGCATTTAAGATGTGGTTATCCTTCTTTGAATTTGTATACAGAGGCATTTTCTCTCAAAGAAAGTACCATATTGGAAGCAGAGAAATAGTATAGAAGTAGGGTGCTTGCTTTGCACATGACCAGTCCAGGTTTGATCCCTGGCATCCTATAATGGTCTGAACACTGCAAATAGTGACCTCTGACCACAGAGCCAAGAATAATCCCTGAGCACCAACGAGTGTGGCCCAAACCTCCCCCCAAAATAAAGTACTGTAGGATTTTAGTAGTGTTTTAGTCTGGCATTTTATTAAATATGCATATATACATATTCAGCAGACTACAATACTCAGGGACCATGGAGCTGATTAATGTTTTAAGTTGTCCAAAGCATGATTGTAATGTTGGTAGAGTAATTCTAACAACATTTAACTTCAGTGATACAAAAAAATTACAATTTTTATTACAGTCATATAACTTGGAAATGTTCAAATTTGAAGGTACTCTTCCCTTTACAATAGGGTAGAAAAGCATTTTGAGGCAAAGAACAAATATTAGCCTGCCTGATGTCAATGAAAGGCAGTGAGCCTTTGCACAAACTTTGTGGTTATTTAAGCTGCAGAAAAAAGGGCAGGTCATCATGTAAATTCCCACCAGAAGCATAGCATAATATAAGGAAAGCTGCCCTAGCTTTTTCTTTGTATGCATATATACGTATATGCTATTTGAAGGAAGGCATTTTTCTTTTGTGTCTTTTTCTCTTAGACTTCTTTATTCTCCTTTGTGCATGAGTGTGTGTTTGGATAGATTTCTTAAATTATTCTTGAAGGCTCCATGAAGCATTTACCCCATCACCTCTAGAATTTATTTTTCCCTTCCTTTTCCACCTCAGCCACCAGTGGTAAAAACAGAGATGGTAACAATTTCTGATACCTCACAAAGGACAGAAATCTCCACCAAGGAAGTCCCTATTGTCCAAACTGAGACCAAAACCATCACTTATGAGTCTCCACAGGTACAAAAAAAATGCTCTAGACTTGGACTCTTCGAGTTCTTTCTTATTCCATCTATTTCTGTTTGCATCCTCTTCTTCTAGTTCACCTTGGCTTTGGCAGGGCTTTCCATAATTCTACTTCATGTATAACGATTTCAACAACAGCATAACTGGCTATGCTGCTGCTTAGATTGAGACAGAGCTACCATCAAATTGATGACCCAGTAATTCTAAGGAGAAGCATGTGCTTGAATAGTTTAGGACAGGCAGTATCAATCTTGTCCATATTGTCATAAGTCATTTCTGGCTTGATACACCCAGAGGTGTATCTTGCACACTTTATCAGATCTGGTACCATTGTGGATTAGTAGAATTGAGTCTTCCCACCCTCCCAAATTCCATGAAGACAGACCTGATGAACTCTTACAACTGCACAACAATATGGTATTTAAGCACACATATACAATTGTGCTTCTCCTTCATGTGGGATGATTTTATTAAGATGCATGGTTGTTATCTTCTTATCCATGTGATACTAAGTGTTTAAATACTAGATTTGTGTGTTTAATTTTAGTTATTCAGACATGGGTTTGTAAATATTTGAAATAGGTACCAGGATGTATAAACTTAAGAGTAAAAAGAAAAAAAGATAAAGGGTTGGTTTTTTTGTTGTTAAGAGTAATAAGAGTACCCATTGTTCCAAAATAAAATTTAGGTTTAGAAATGTGTACAGCTCTTTTCTCAACTGAGAAATGTTCTGTCCTTAGGTAGAATTGTACTGCAGTAGAGGACTAATTACTGGCCTACCAAAATATTACTTTAAAAAGTTCATTGTATGTGTGAAATGTCCCTCAAAATTATTGTAAATATGCTTACATGTATGTGCACAGATTCAATATAAGCAGGATATATTTCTTATTAGTAGTGACATTTCTTATTAGTGTGTCTGTACTATATATAATAAGTGCACGTGTGAAGAGATGTTCCTGACCTAAGCCTGACAGAAATGTCCACTTAATACTTAATTTAAAGTCAGAAAGTCTCTGGATATATTTTTGTTTTTCGTGCCAGAAAAACAGGAGGTAAAATGTTTGGTGATCTGAACACAAACTATTACACTCTTGGTTTGCTTCATTTTTTTCCCCCTGTTAATATCTAGACCTTTCTTCCTTATTTAGTTATAAAACCAAGTAAGTCAGATTTTATTTATATATATTCATGGGATTTCTGAATGAGACATATAGAGTATATGTATACACGTGTAATGAAATAAAATGTACCCAGGTAACTGCTCACTGCACAGAAGTTACTACAACAATATGGTATTTTAAAAAAAAATCTGCTAGAGAAAAGCAAATAACCAAGTTGACCTTCAGTTAATCCTCATCAGGTTTCATTGCTTAGTATTCTGAGGAAAATATGTACCTATTTTTACCCACCTGTGCTTTAAAAAACAGAACAGAACAGAGCAAACCACAAACAAAAAACAGCAAACGCGGCACATCTGGCCACTGTGGAAACGCCTCTGTCTCTTGATTTCTTTAGTTTTGTGAAGAGTTATTCATCGTATTCTCATAATGCTATAGTTGACTTTCAATTCCACCATCTCTCCTCCTTCCTGTTTTTAGTCTCTCCTTCTGGGGTTGCTTCTCTATATGCGTTTATTAGCCTTTAGATTTCACTCTTTTTAAATAGCAGCCAGTCTCCTGGTCAGTTATCACTGCAAACATGCAAAGGATAGGCAGATAGCACCTTCTGCAAACTGCATAGTTTTGACGAAGCATTTCACTGGGGAGTGGGGTCTTCTTGACAACATAATGGAAGTTAAGCATTGCTTTGTTCTTTTTCCTCAATTGTCCAAAGGTTGATGGCGGGGCTGGTGGTGACTCGGGCACGTTACTGACCGCACAAACCATCACATCTGACTCCGTGTCGACAACAACAACCACACACATCACCAAGGTAAAGCAACCCAGGGGAATGCTTAGGGAGAGGATGGGACTTTGGATCTTTTCTGAATTTTCTTTGTTTTTGGACACACTTCAAAGTAATACACAGTCAGTGCCGGTGAAATAAAAATGCCTTCATTTAAAGTATCCAAGAAACTAGCTCTACTGACAAATTCATCTAAGCCAAATTATGATTTTGTAAAGTACAAGGGGGTAAAAATATGCTATGAGTAGTCTATACTTAAGATGAGCAGAAAGAAAGAACATCGTTTAGAATTTTCACATCAAAATGTTATCCCCTCCCCCAAACCCCCAGTTGATTCATAGGTTGACATAGAGCATTTTTCCACATCATTCTTTAAATATTTAACAGCAGATGACCAGTGATTCTCAAAGTTGGTCTCTGGACCCCCCAACAGCAGTATTTCCCCAAAACCTTATTAGACAAGTTTGAATATTGTGACCTTACTGCAGATCTGCAGAAATCCTGTGACTATTTATAAAGTCCTCTGGGTGATTTTGACGTGTTCTGGTAGTCTAATCCAATTTCAAACCCCAGATTTATTTTACAACATTTCCTTTGCTTCACATTTGTTTAGTGCTCCAAGGTCTTAAATGTATATCCCCTATACCTTCCTTGTCTTATATTTCAAGAGAAACTTTGTAAGTTAAAAAATGCCACATAGAAATTGGTATTGGTGTTCATTTTAAAGTGTACCTATAGTTATTAAGGCTTGTGATATGCCCATTGCCCTCACACCCACCCCATTAGTGTGTCAGATACTTGGTTTGTAAATTTGTCCATGTTAGGAAAGTTGGGTTTATGCTTTCTCAGAGCTGTGTGGCACTGCCCATTGGATTTTGGATGTCATAGCATGGTGACCTCACCAGCCTTTACTGTACACCAGGCTCTGTCCTGTTATTCTAAGCCAGTAGCTGTGACAGTTGCCAAAGTACTCCTGCCCTCAGGTCCCCATATACAACCTTTGAACAGCCAAATCATCAAATGGTTTTATTTGACAAGAATTAAGCTGTCAAAACTATAATATCAAGCCATTTCCCAAACTTCATCTCTTTACCTAAATTGTTAGAATTTGTTAATTACATAATCCCAAAAAATCGCTTCTTACCTCCCTTCTTCTCTGACCAACTAGAGGAAAGAATTTCAGAAAATATCTAATGAATGTTCCAGTGGAACTATTTGAATTAAATGGCATCTGTCCCCACTTAATCCTACCTGAATTTTTATAAATTAATTTTAGTGTTGCTTTCAGTTAAGGGTTCGTCTGGATGCTACAGATTTAACGCTAGGGTTCTCTACTAAGTGTGACATAGATCATCCATCTTCCCCACTTTAACTCTGCATTGCCTTAGGATGGTCCAGAAAACCCAGGTGTCCTCCATCTTATCTATGTGTAAAACTTCTTTAGTGACTGCTATTCCCTCCTTTTCTTGTGACCTTTAGACTGTGAAAGGTGGAATATCTGAAACAAGAATTGAGAAACGCATCGTGATCACAGGAGATGCAGATATTGATCATGACGAGGTAAAGACCTTAACTTGTGGTTTTGAAAAAAGTGAGTGATCTTTTGTCATTGTGTTATATCTTATGTCAAGCTGGACAAGTCCACCTCTTAAGCATGGCAAAAGATACTTCAGTGCCCAAATCTCACTTGTCTGTTTGGCCACCCTATCCTTGAATCCTCATTAAGAACTTATCAGGTAATATTTTTTAATAGCATTAAAGAAAGTTATATTGTTTACCTCTAAATATTTCCCCCATTATTATTTATAACGTGGAGAAAGATAATTTTAGATCGCTTAACCAAATAAAAATTTGTATGTATTCAGGAAGAAGATTGTTTTAACAAAATATGCTTCCACTATAAAGTTAGGTCGAATAGATTCTTGCTTTAAAAAAGCCAGTGAGAAGTCGAATTTCTGGAAACTTCTGAAAGATTTTGATTCTAGACTGCAGTCCCAAGTGATCATGAGAATTTTTATTTGGGTTCTTTCTGTGTGATTTCAACTCTGCTTTAAATAAGGTCATTTTTACACTATTTTCCTTTTAACACTGCTTGAAGAAATGGAAAGGGGAGATGTTCTGTTGACTGTCTCACCTGGGAGCTGGAACCCAGCATTGAACACTGTTGTACTCAGGAAAGAGAATTTCCAAGAGCAGAATTTCTTAAGAAAGTTTCACTGTATATAACCAAAGAGAAACAGATTTTCTCCTCATAAAGAGTCTTTCTCTATTTTTAAAAAACATGAAATAATATTTTAGTAATGAAATGTTGCTCTGCCTGTATTTTTGACATAGCAAAAGAGAGTCCTAGTAGGTTAGTAATATGTGCACCTCATTACCACTGAGGGAATTACAGATTTTCAATTTCCTGAAGGTACGCTGGTCTTTATATGTCTTCATATGTCCCAGTAAACTCGACTATATCGCCTAGGTGTATAGTAGACTGATCCCACCTAGATTTGCATGATTAAACCCAATGGCAAGTATTCTGCTTTTCACATAACAAAAGCACCTTTAGTCATTACCCTGGATATATTCTAACCTTTAAGAGACACATAACTGTTCATTGAGTTTCCCTAACCTCAGAAGAGTGAACTGTTATTTTTATTTTCTGGGTCTCTCCCTCAACAAGTACGTATAAATTTCTATCATGGTTGATCTGATAGAAAGTAAAAACTACGATCTGTTCTCCATCACTATTTTATCCATCTCTTTTCTCCACTAAACCTGGGCTCTTGACTTGCCTTGCTCTTTTTAAAAAAGTTTTCTGTTTTTTTGTCCTTTGGTTACAATAGGTGTAATGACCAGCATAAAGATTATTTAAAGGATAGAAAAGAAGACTGATTTTAGAAGTATCTAAGTGGGGAAAATATTATTGTATTAAAACATTGGCTCATCTTTAAAATAAGACATACCAATGGGCCAAACATGTGACAGACAAGTAGACTGGATTCTTAGAGACAGAATCCCATCTGCTTACCTCAGATGTGTCAGACAGCAAGACACAGATCTGTGGTTGCTTCCTTATGTCCATTTCCTGTTGCAGAAACTACACACTCCCTGATGGACTTTGCTGCTTTATTCTCTGACTCACCTCTCAGGTTTTCTATATGTACTTAGGTTAAGGTTTCATTTTATGTGCCTATTTTTTAAGTGTCTTTTGTCTTCTTTTTTACCTGGAAACTGTAACTAGTATTGCATTTGAAAAGCATTAAAATCACAGCCTGAAATGTGAGTACCAAAATCACAGACTCCTAATTCTTGAAAGAAAAAAGCATCACAGTGATGCTCTTACTTGAACTAATGCTATGAGAACGCACAGCTCATTTGTCTGATGTGCTTCATGAAGCCCATTGTAAGCCGAGACTGCAGAGGACCAAGTGAAGAGAACAATGATTTGACTTCCTCATGCTTAATTATTAGATGGCATCAGCTTTTTGGAGTGCATTTAATTGTGGCTTTGGGTATGCTTTTTCACTGGAAACTCACAGTGAGTTCACTCTGACCTTAAATGCTGTAATGAGATGACAGAGTTGTTGAAAATTAAAGGAGAGAAATCACTCTCCTGCCAAAAGCTTTCATGTCTCTGATAAGCCTTGCAGTTCCTTACATGCATTAAAGGAAACATAATAGTGAAAGACAGAATTATATTTTTTTGTTCTTTTGGTATAAAAATTGGAGAGGCATGCTCTTACAGAAACTTCCTGTAGGCACTTGACCATGTTCTAGAATACTCTCAGCTCCATACAGGGGAAAGAGGAAAGACAAAGACACTGTACTTGATCATTAGGCCTCCCTCCCTCCTTCCCTCCCTCCCTCCCTCCCTCCTTTCCTCCCTCCCTCCCTCCCTCCCTCCCTCTCTCCTTCTCTTCCTCCCTCCCTCCCTCCCTCCCTCCCTCCCTCCCTCCCTTCCTTCCTTCCTTCCTTCCTTCCTTCCTTCCTTCCTTCCTTCCTTCCTTCGTACTGTCTTTTCTTCCTTCCTACTGTCCTTCCTTCTGTCCTTCCTTCCCTTCCCTCTTCTTCCCTTCCTCCTTTTTTTCCTTCCTTCCCTCAGTTCCTTTGTCCTCCCTTCCTTTTTCTTTCCTCCGTTCTCCGTCTTTCCCTCCTTCCCTCCTCTCTAGGCCTGATACATGCAAGGCAAATACTGTACAATTGAACTGCAGCTCAGGTCTTATGTTTCTTTCTAATAAAGTAACTTCTCGATTTAGCTGTGAAGCCAGTTCTTTGCACATGCTAATTTTTCTTGCCATTATTCCTTAAACAATAACAATTATTTGCGTAGCTATTTACATTGTATTTGGCATTATGAAAAAGCTAGAAATGATTGAATATATTTGGATGCCTGTACATTAATATGCAAATATTATGCTACATTATATAAAGAACCTGAGCGTAAGGGATTCCTTGAACTACTCCTCCCCCACCCACCCCTACCACAGGTATCAAGAAATAGCTATTACTGTGCAATAATTTTTCCACAATCTTAATTGTTGCCTAAATACATTAACATTTTATAGTATTTCATTTCATGTACTTATTATGGAACTAAAGGAGGAACTGATGGCAAATTAATTTCAGATGTGCTCGACGATGATTATGGCAGTTTCTGATTTGCCTAGTTTTCTGCTAATTAAACTATGTTTTATGTGGGCCACCTCCCCTTGGGCATCATTACATTTACTCCTTAGCAGTTGCGCTGGTTTAATGTAGGCAGATCTCCGTGATGAACATGCACTCCCATCATAACTTGCCCATTTCCAGTTTCACTGCGTGAGACCTGTCACATGCCAAATTTCTACCTCTGAGCCTGTTCGAACATACACACGTGCATGCACACACGTACTTTAGAGCTGCGCCTGTTGCACTTTATCACGCTTTCCCATTTGTGTTGCAGTTCATACAAGACGCCCTTCTCTGAGAGTAAGGCTCCTGCTTTTCTCCCTTCCTGACTCCTGCTTGCCATCCTTCCTGCTCCCCCCACTTGCTTCTGCTCAGATTGGTGGCTGGGATCCTGTCTGAATTCTCTTTTGTCCTGGTACAGGTTGGTCACCAGAGTTGGTCTGCTAGTGAAAAACTTTAACACTCCAGTGTGTCTTCGAGCTCCTGTAGAAAATGTTTCCTGCATATAAAACAATTGTTGTTTTTGTTTCCCCTCCACCCAACCCTCCCCCCCCCTTTTTTTTTTTGGTGAATCGAGTCTTAGTTTCATTCAGTAATTTTCCAGTGGGCATAAATAGTGCAAACAAGAAATGCCATTTCCCCTTAGGACTTGAGAGAGCAGTGTGCAGAAAAAGCACTGCATTTTCCAAGTACTCAATTGCCTTGTGAGATGTGGTGTTCTTTGCTCAAGAGGGTTTTGTTAGAAATCTTGCTTAGATTTTGAGTTTGGTTTTATTGGCTCTTTATTTAAACCCCAGACCTTGTCTAGGTATTTTCCCCCTCTGAAAAACAGATTTGCTTCCTTTGTCCTGAGAGCCTTCCATGGTTTGCATGCTGATAAAGCAGCTTCCATCTGCTCCGGGGAAGTGACCATGAACCAGTGGCACTGAGGGACCCATGTCTGTCCTGCTTGCCAGTGACAGGATGACGTTGGAAAGGATCCATCAGCTGTTCCTGTGGTCTCTTCGATGAATCTGGCATCTGTATAATCTATACAGATATAATCTAAAGATTCGTCCCTCTCTATCCTGTGACTTTGCTGATTTTGCGTCCTCATTGTCGCTGCTTGTTTTCAGTACCCAGTGCCCTAGAAATTTCTAGATTATTTTTCCTGCAACATTGTTATTTCATAGACATTTGAGCTTAAATAGTTACTGAATGCCTAAGAGCACAGAGACAGGTAGGACCTGATTTTTTTTTTTTTTGGTGCCTTGGAATTCCAAGCAATTGAAGAAATAAATAGCAAGTATTGCTTGAGTGTATTGATTAGGCACTATGCCGGATACTTTTCATTATCCCTTCAGTCCATGCAGTGAACCTTAAAATGATCTTGTCTCAAGTTAGGGGTGAGATTTCTAAGTAGTTCAGGAATTGAGTCCTCCGAGTCTCGGGTCCGCTGCCAGGCTGGGATTCAGAGTCGACAAGGTTTGTTGTTGTTGTTGTTGTTGTTGTTTTTTCTTTTGCAGTTACCGTTATTTGGAAAGGGGCTGGAGAAGGGGGGGGATTCTTGGAGAATTGAGGAAAGCATGCTCTGAAAGGAACCGGGGCCTGTTTCAAATCTCCCTGCTTCCTCAAATAGAGAAATAAAGTCATCTTAGACTTAGATGAGAATGAATTCGCCTGTCTTCCCAAGAAACTGCGTGTTCCTCAGCTCACAGTGCTCTCTCCTGCCCCCTGCAGGCGCTGGCCCAGGCCATCAGGGAAGCTCGTGAGCAGCACCCTGACATGTCAGTCACCAGAGTGGTGGTGCACAAAGAAACGGAGTTGGAGGAAGGGGATGACTAAGAGGTAAGAGAGTTCACGTGATCCAGAACCTTTCTCAAGACGGTTCCATGTTCCTGAAACTGCCACCAGAAGTGAAAGACTCTTTCTCTCCCCCGCCCTGGTGTCTACCGTCTTTCATTTGATTTGCAGACCTGATTATCCCCAACCCGATAATTATGGGGGCATGTGGGCATAAGTGTTAAAAACTTTCTGACCTGAACTGCTCACTCTTGTCTCTCAAATGGACACAAGATGTATCTAACTCCATCACCACTAGAACAGTGTTCCACAGTAGACCTGGTCAGAAGGGACAGACATTAAGGCTGAGGGAAGATGGTCTGTGTCGCTCCTGAAAGCATTACCGCAGGAAAGGGCACTGGACTCTCTGATTCCAGGTTTCATTGAGTCGCTGTCCTGCAGTTGTCGTTAAAGTCAGGTTAAAAAGTGAATGAAAGGGCTGGAGCGATAGTACAGTGGGTAGGGCGTTTACCTTGCACGTGGCCGACCCAGGTTCTATCCCCGGCATCCCATATGGTCCCCCAGCACTGCCAGGAGTAATTCCTGAGTTGCAGAACCAGGAGTAACCCCTGAGCATCGCTGGGTGTGATCCAAAAAGGAAAAAAAAAAGTGAATGAAGCCTCTTTCCCATTTGAAAGCAGAGGACAAGTAAAGATGAAATGTGGGAAGCTGCCCTCTCATCCATTCATGCATTCATTTTGTCCATTGTACAAATATATGTCGAAATATATAAAGACATATACAAATACATAAAAGGTAAAAGGTAAAGGCCCTCCTGTTGATCATCGATTTGCTCGAGCGGGCCCAGTAACGTCTCCATTAGAGACTTTGTTGTTACTGTGTTTGGCATATCGAATACGTCACGGGGAGCTTGCCAGGCTCTGCCGTGCGGGCGAGATACTCTCGGTAGCTTGCTGGGCTCTCCGAGAGGGGCGGAGGAATCGAACTCGGGTCGGCTATGTTGGCTGCGTGCAAGGCAAACGCCCTACCGCTGTGCTGTCGCTCCAGCCCTTTCATTCACTTTTTAACCTGACTTTAACGACAACTGCAGGACATACATAAATACATACATATATGTATATTGTCAATTAAATGCCAGCTATTGTTTTACAAGGCCGATACTTTTTACAGTATCAAGTCTTTCAAGGTCTACAGTCCAAATAGTAAACCAGTGATCAGCAGAATAGTTTGACGTTTCCATAGTATATGCAGTCTAGTTTGGTGGGAATGAAAGAGCAGCATCTCTAAAAAGGATCAGCCTAAGGAATGGCTTCTCGCTTGGACTCCCAGGAGGACAAGCATTAGCTCATGTGCCTGGAAGAAAGACATTCCAGACACGAGCTGAAGCTATGAGCCTGCCACTAGATAATAGCACAGAGTCAGGTATAGTTGGATTTTAGAACACTTGTTAGCAGAGTGATGAGAGATGAGAGGATGGGCTCGGGAGAGCAGATCTGGTTTGAGGTGCTGTCTATGATTTCAATCATGTAACATTTCATTTTTTAATTAAGGCAGTCAGTGTCTGTATTTTTCTGCCTGTGGTATTGTCAGAGAAAATGACTGCCATAGGAATTAATATGAAGGATTCATGGAAGTAAATCTAATCTTTGTCATATGCAAACATAAAACATGAGAATTTGTAAACTTACTCATATATACCAGATAGTCTGTTAGGAGAAAATAGAATATCAAATAATTTTTTTCCAAGTTCAAATTTAATTCATGCTTGCATGATTTGGGCAGGTTATTTCATCTCTCAGTACTGTTCTGCCATCTATAAATGGAGGGTGATTATTGCTTCCAAGATAAGTGACAAGAAATTTATATAAATGTAAGGTTCCCACAAACCTTGTTTTGCTCAAATAAAAGTCGAAAATGTCTACCCCCAGAGATGTTTGGTTTGAGAGACATGTGTATTGTCTGCTTGGAGAGGTCTAGAAAATAGTCTAGAGCCTGTGGTACGACAGGCTTCAGCACAGGAAATGAGGTCATGAAAATCACTTGAAAGAGTCATTGATTGATAGTCTTTATTAAGAAAACTTCTCAGGCCATGTCAGAGTCCTGAGAAGCAGAGAGAAAGGAGGAGACCCAGATGGTAGAAAAAAAAGAGGGGAGCAGGAAGGAAAGGCTGTCAGAGAAAAGATAATTTCAAGAAGAGGATTACCAACTATTCAGTTTTGTGGGAAAACTGAGGGAAAGTATCCTCTAGAATTGTTGGTACAAAAATCATCTCGGGGACACTATCAATACTACGTCAGTCCAGTATTTGGGATAGAGCCCTGCAGCAGGTTAGAAAAAAGAAGAGAGTTGCAAGAAGCTGAAAGTGTGGTAAGAGGGTCTTTTACTTCTCTGTCATCTCGGCCTGTCTGCTTCTGCAGAGATGGAAAGCACTGGGGGGACTTACACGTGTCACGAGAGCCAGTGCCATCTTTGCTGACCTGGTGACTGGGCTCTCCTGCCTTGGGATCTGTTAGTTATGCCTTGAATTCCCAACTCCAGCCCACAATAAGTTACTCTAAATTAATGATGTTGTCTTCTGTCTTGTGTGTGTCCACATATACCCCCCTCCTAAACAGTATTTTTGCAAACCAGCATCTCAAAGCCAGACTGATGTTCATAGTTACCAAATGAACTCGAACACAGCACAGAAAATTATCATTATCTGTCCAGCTGAATTTACAGGAAAGAAAATTGTGTTGACTGAAAGAATGCTAGCTATTCATGCATGAGCTTCTCATTTCCTCGTGGTCTCTGACAGAACCCCAGCCTGCTGAATTCCAGACCATGATATTCAGTTCAGGAGCCAGCAGTTTTTTTTTTTTCAGGCATATGACATGTGTCACATTTTAAATTTATTCTGTTTGCCTACTTGTTCTAGTTTCCAATCTAAATTAGCAGCTCCGTTTTCAATAGATTACTCAAGTGTTAAATGAAGACTTGATGCATAGAAATAAAAAGTCAGTTTGAGTCTTAGGCACAACCAGTTTCCATTCTGAAATGCTGAGGAATGTTCTAATTTAATATTTATACACCTAGTCGATGATATATCAACGAGTTAGTTACAGTGTATTTGAACTACTCAGTGTTTGAGGCAGTGGGTGTCTGCTGGTATGAATACATTAACACGCTTTAAACAAAATTTTAAACGGTATTTATGCTAACCAACATCCACTTACTCTTGGACAAAATCACTATAGTCTGTTGTTTATTTTTTCAAATGATAGTAGAGTGGGTAGAGTTCTTATCTCATACGCGACTAACCCTGGTTCGATCCCTGGCATGACAAATGGTCCCCCGAACGTGACAGGAATGATAACTGAGCACAGAGCCAGGAGTAAGCCCTGAACATAGCCAAAAACCTCTGTTTATGTGAATTACATCTTTTGAACTGTTTCGTAGTTTAAGTCATAATTGTGTCTATTGACACTTATCATCTAATATATTAAGTAGTTTTCTAGGCTAACAATGACTGTGAAATAAACTTGCCTGAAGTGACTGTATATATATGTACTGCATTATTTCAATGGCATGACCCTGGAAAAGGCAACTGAGCAAGATTGTACAGAAGTCAGTGATGCCACCAACCTCTTTTCAATAAGTATCGGAAAATTATGGTGTCCAAAATGCAATTTCCTAAAGTTCTAATTTTCACCTACAAGCTTGAATTTTTATGACTGGCTATAAATACTGTCAAATTGCTTTCCTTGAAGTGACAGACTTCCCCACATTTTCAAGAAAATGCCTGCCAAATATCCAAATTGAATAATATAGTTTGTCTCTCAGTAATTCTCTCAAGTAAAAAAGGAATTTTATGGGGAAAAAAGTGTCTTTAATTTACCATTGATGCACCATGTAAAATTTTCCCCTGACACCCATGATGGGAGGAGTATTTTTATTACACAAAATATTAAGAAGATCTGTACTCAGGGTAGTAAGTAAGAGTATTGATTATTTTCGCCTCTGTTTCATCAAGGACTTTCAATTTATTTCACTGGCTATGTGGTGGTGAAGAATGTAGTAACTTCTAGTCCTATTTATTACCACTGTCTTGATCTGAGCAAAGATGTCAGCAGGTTCACTCATCTGGGTTGTTGCACCATCAAAGAAGATGTCAGCACTCTGAGAAGGGAAAATATTTTAGTGTGGTTATGAAATATCTTTGAGTCCATGATCCCTTGAAGGAGTTTTGGTCACCCCAGAGTATGCAGACCAGACTTTGAGGAATTGTGGATCTAAATTATAATGGAAACTTTGTTTAAAAATTAAATCAAGTATGAAGATCGAAAGCCAGAGGAGAATAAAATGAAGTTTAGCACTAGAAATACCTGGAATCCATAAACCATTATTCCTAAGGCCAGAATTTACACATACACACACTGACAATATTTTCATTTAGGAAATGAAATTCAAAAAAATTTATTCATGTTTTAAATTTCTGGCTATGTTACTGTGCTATGATAATTGACTATTTGCACATCTGAAGAAATTTTTTCTTGTATTTTAATGATTTTTAGATAAGCCATGTTTTAATTTTTAATTTATTTTTATTGGTAAAACATTTTGGGGCCAGAGCGGCACAGCAGTAGGGTGTTGGCCTTCCTTGCACATAGCCGACCCAGATTTGATTCCTAGTGTGTCCCATGTGGTCCCCTGAGCCTGCCAGGAGTAATTCTTGAATGCAGAGCCAGGAGTAAGCCCTGAGCACCGCTGTGTATGGCCCAGTTCCTCCCCCTACTTCCCCAAACATCTCCTGCCACCAGTGCCAGAGCCTCCACCTCTGTCCTTATGTCCACTCTAGTACACTCTAGTCTACTCCTTCCTTCCTTCCCTTCTGCTCAGTAATCCGTTTTGCAATCAAAATCCAAGGTAGAAACCTCCTGTTTTAGATTTTGTTGAGACTCCCCTCTCGTGACTTCTTTAACACTTTGCAGGTAGTGTTTCTGATGATTAGTGTCAAGTACTTTCCATTTGTCATTGGAGACTCACAAGTAATGTTCTGGAGGTCT